AGGCAGAGGCAGGGGGATCTCTGTGAGTTCGAAGTCAGCCTGGTCTACAGAGTGAGTTCCAGAACAGCCAGGACTACACACAGAAACCCAGTCTTGAAAAACCGCAAAGAAAAACTGGCAGTTGAGTACAGTATCCCTAGAGATACATAACTGACAGTCACAATAATTAAACATCCTTACTGATTAGTATTTTATTGAAATTAAGAGAAAATAGATAGAGGCCCTCAAAGAGGATATGAGAAATTCCCTTAAAGAAATGGAAGAAAAAACAAACCAAAAAATTCAACAAATGCAAGAAAGGGAGGAAAACACTAAGCAAAAATTACAAGAAACAATTCAAACAGCGCAAGGGTTGAAAGCTGACATGGAGACAATAAAAAAAAAAAAAACACAAGTCTGAAGGAATGCTGGAAATAGAAAAACTGGGTAAATGGTTAGGTATTACAGATGCAAACATAACCAACAGAATACAAGAGATAGAAGAGGGAATCTCAGGTGTTGAAGACACACTAGGGGAAATAGATTCATTGACCAAGAAAATCTTAAGTCCAACAAATCCCTAACACAAAATATTCAGGAATTATGGGACACCGTGAAAAGACCAAACCTGAGAATAATAGGTATAGAAGAAGGTGAAGAAACCCAACTCAAAGGGCCGGAAAACATATTCAACAAAATCATAGAAGAAAACGTTCCCAACCTAAAGAAAGGCATGCCAATGAAGGTACAAGAAGCTTACAGAACACCAAATATAGTGAACCACAAAAAACAGTACCCTCGTCACATAATAATCAAGACCCAAAGCATATAGAATAAAGAAAGAATACTTAGAGCAGCTATGGAAAAAGGCCAAATAACATACAAAGGTAAACCTATCAGAATTACACCTGACTTCTCTGTGGAAACTCTGAAAACCAGTAGGTCCTGGAAAGATAATTCTATCAACACTAAGAGACCACGGATGCAAAGCTTTCAATCAATATAGACGAAGAAAACAAGCTATTCCATGGCAAAACCAGATTTAAACAATACATATCCACTAACCCAACCCTACAGAAAGTTCTGGAAGGAAAACTCCAATCCAAGGAAGTTAACTACAACCAAAAAAACATAGGGACTAGATAATCTCACTTTACCTACAGCCTAAAGAGAAAAGGGGTGGAAATCCACATACAATTCCACCAAGAACAACCATTCCAAAACAAACAAGGAAGAGCAATCAAAGGTCATTAATATCCCTCAATATTAATAGTCTAACAAGCCCATAAAAAGGCACAGACTAACAGAATGGATTCAAAGACAGAATCCATCCTTCCACTGCATACAAGAAATACACCTCAGCCTCAAAGACAGACATTATCTCAGAGTTAAGGGTTGGGAAAAGATTTCCAATCAAATGGACCCAAGAAACAAGCAGGGGTAGCAATCCTAATATCTAACAAACTAGACTTTAAACTGAAATCAATCAAAAGAGATGAAGGAGGTCATTTCATATTCATCACAGGAGAAATCAACCACGATGAAGTCTCGATTCTGAACATCTATGCCCCAAACACAAAGGAATCCACATTCTTAAAAGAAACATTACTAAAACTCAAACCACACATAAAATCTCACAAACTTATACTGAGAAACTTCAACACCCCACTGTCACCACTAGACAGGACTACCAGACAGAAACTTAACAAAGAAACAAAGGAACTAATAGAAGTTATGACCCAATTGGGTTTGACTGACATCTATAGAACATTCCATCCAAACACAAAAGAATATACCTTCTTCTCACCACCACATGGAACCTTCTCAAAAATTGACCACATACTTGGCAATATAGCAAACCTTAACAGGTACAAAAAAATTGGAATAACTCCATGTACCTTATCAAACCACCATGCTTTAAAGTTAGAGTTCAACAACAACACAAATTGCAGAAACCCTACAAACTCATGGAAATTGAATAATGCACAATTTCACCACTCCTGGGTCAAAAAGAAATAAAAAAAGAAATTAAAGACTTCATAGAATCAATGAGAATGAAGACACAATATACCCAAACTTATGGGACACTTTGAAAGCAGTGCTAAGAGTAAAGTTCATAGCACTAAGTGCCCACATGAAGAAACTTAAGAATATTCACACTAGAGAATTAACAGCACAACTGAAAGCTCTAGAACAAAAAGAAGTAAACTCACCCCAGAGGAGTAGGCACCAGGAAAAAATCAAATTAAGGGCAGAACTCAATAAAGTAGAAACTATGAAAACGATACAAGAATCAATGTAACAAAGAGATGGTTCTTGAAGAAAATCAACAAGATAGACAAACTTTTATCCAAACTCACCAAAGAGCAAAATGTGAACATGCAAATTAACAATATCAGAAATGAAAACGGGAACATAACAACGGACACTGAGGAAATCCAGAGAATCATCAGGTCATACTTTGAAAACCTGTACTCCACAAAATTCGAAAATTTAAAGGAAATGGACAACTTTCTGGATAGGTAGCACCTGCCAAAATTAAATTAAGAACAGAAAAGCAATTTAAATAGACCTATAACACCTATGGAAATAGAAGCAGTCATCAAGTCTCCCAACCAAAAAAAGCCCAGGACCAGATGGCTTCAGTGCAGAATTTTACCAGAAATTCAAAGAACAGCTTTTACCAATTCTCCTCAAAGTATTCCATGCAATAGAAGCAGAAGGGTCTTTGCCAAACTCTTTTTATGAGGCTTCAATAGCATTGATACGCAAGCCACACAGAGACACAACTAAGAATGAGAACTACAGACCACTTTCTGTCATGAACATAGATGCAAAAGTACAATAAAATACTGGCAAATTGGATCCAAGAAAACATCAGAAAACTCATCCACCATAATCAAGTAGGCTTCATTCCAGACTCCACAAATGCAGTGTCAGTGAGGAGGTCTCAGAAATCTCTGGGGCCTTAGGTAGATCAGTGTTCACCATGGTTTACAAATAAACTTTAGGAGCCCATTCCACAGGGAGGGATGCTCTCTCAGCCTGGACACATGGGGAAGGGCCTAGGTGCTGCCCTGGATGAAATGACATACTCTGGAGATCCCCACAACGAGGGTCTCACCCTCCCTGGGAAATGATGTGGGGATTGGGCGGGGGGCTGGGGGGAGCTGGTGGAGGGACAAAGGAAGAGGGGTGGGAGAGGGAGCTGGGATTGACATGTGAAGCATGCATGTTTGTAATTTAAATAAAAACATATATTGAGAGAAAAAAGAAACCTAAAACTACAAAAGAACTATAAGCAAAAATGCCTCTGAACACTCAAATCAAATCGTCAACTTGTTGGTGTAGGTTTAGTAAATACCACAAAACCACAGGAAACTAGAGCAAAAAAAGACAAGTAATACTGAATCAAACTATAAAGGAAATGATCAACATTATCAAGAATACAGCTGAAAGTGCACAAACTCAACAGAAAACAAATAAACAGACTATCTAAAAACAGGCAACAGATCATTGGATACATCACTGGCCCACACCTTTAATCTCAGGATTTGTGAGTCAAAGGCAGGTGGATTTCTGTGAATTCGAGGTCAGCCTGGTCTACAGAGCGAATTCCAGGACAGGCTCCAAAGCTACAGAGAGAAACCGTGTCACTAAAAACAAACATCATCAAAAACAACAACAACAACAAAAAAAAAGGCAACAGATATAAACAGATATTTCCTAGGAGAAGACATACAAATGGACAATAAGTACATGAAAAACTACATAATATCAACAAGCATTAGAGATAAGGCAAACCAAAACCACATGGCATAACCACAGCCCAGTTAATAGCTGTTCACTATGAAGGTGAAGCTTTGGAGAAAAGGGAATACTTGCAAACTGTAAGTGGGAGTGTACAATAGTACAGTCACTGCCTAGAGTGTTTTGAGAGAAATTGCCTTAATAAGACTGGCCTTCAGCTATGTCTGTGGAGGACTGTCTTGATTGTTAATTGATATAGGAAGGCCTGTTCCACTGTGGGTGGCACTAGGCAGGTAGACCTGGGCTGTATAAGCAAGTAGCTGAGGATGAATAAACAAGCCACAGAGTGAGCCAGCAAGTGGTGTTCCTCCATAGTTTCTGCTTCCAGGTTCCTGCCTTAAATTTCTACCCTGAACTCCCTCAATGGATTATGACCTATAAGTGGTTCTTTTGGTTAGTGTTTTATTCATCACGCTAACAGAAAATAAAGTAGAACAATCATATAACCCAGCAATCCCACTACTAGGTTGCATATCCAAAGGAGATACATCTGTATAGACATATGCATTCCTGTATTATTATGGCATTATTCACAATGGAAAAAAATGTATCCATCAGCCAATGGAATCAGACAGACAGACAGACAGACAGACAGACAGACAGACAGACACACACACACACACACACACACACACACACACGATGGCCATTAATCAAAAAGGGACAGAAATCCTATCATCTTTACCAGCACAGATAAAAATTGAAGATCATTATGTTCAGTGAAATAATCTGAGTACAAGAATATAAATAATTTCACTTGTACACAGAATCTAAAAACTGAGCTTATAAAAACAGAGTAGAGTGGTGATTACCAGAGCCTGGAAACAATGAAGGAACTGTGGAAGTATGGAGAGGTATGGGACAATGTTTATCAATGGGAACTAAATCATTTCCTAGCTAATCACAGTAAGATGACTACAGACAACAGTGATACATAGTATACCTTTTAAAAAGAAAAAGAAAAGAGGGGATCTTGGATCTTTTCATTATAATAAAATGATATTGGAAGATATAGATAGATTTTACTTGATTTAAATATTCATATTATACACCTATACTTACTACTTTAGTATGTTCAATTTTTAATTTTTGTGTAACTGTTAATGTAAATTAAAGAAAATTTAACCTCAGCCAAAATACAACAACAATTACAACAACAACAACAAAAAAAATCAACCAATGTTTTACAGTTGACTCTATTAAAGACAAACCTTTTTCATGCAGTCCACATAATTATTGTACTTTAGAGAATCAGGGGGAAATTCATCAGACTTCATGGGGAAATTAGAAACAATGAGCTTTTCCAGAATTTGTTTTAGGTTTTCTAGACTGTCTTCAGTCAGGCTGGTGAAGAATGGAAGAAGAATAATAGCTTGGCCCTGTGAAGCAATGCAGAAAAACGTAAATCACACTAATCGTGGTGGCTTACAGATCATCCTGGAGAAAAAGTAAACCCACTACTTTCTAAAAACTGCAAATAATGCACTGCAGCCACTCAACACATGATTTCAGAATAAATTCTGGATGACATCAAGAACCAACTTGAATGCAGCCATGTACCTCAGCTTCAGTTCCAGAAGTCATGAAGGAGGACATGAAGTTGGGAGACTGAGTGCCTGCACTAGGGGGGAAGGAGTAGGGAATGGATATGGTCCAAATATATTGCATAAATGTATGAAAGTTTCAAAGAATAATTTTTAAAACCATTTTTAAAAATTATTACATTCCAATTCTATGTAGAAAGAATGGTTTGAATAGCCTACAGGATAGTTTACAAGTATTTGTTTGCAAAAATCCCTATAGAACTTCATACTGGACTTATGAGGAACTAGGTATTGAACTTCCCTTGAGTAACAAGTAAATTCCAAAATTTTCACATTTGAAGGAGAAACTTCATAAGTCACACAGAACACACCAAAGATCTAATAAAAAAAAATGGGTCATACATGAAAACCACATTGTAGGACTTTAAACTTAATAACAATAATATTACTTTTCTTGCTTCCCCATCACTAAATATTTCAACTGAAAAATACTTTGAAATTACTACACCATATCCAAACCACCAATTTAAATCGGATACACACACACACACACACACACACACACACACACAAATGTTACTGATCATCTACCTTTAAGTGTAGACCCAACTTTGTATCAGCAAGTAGACTAGCATATGTTGTGAAGATCTCAGGAAATGAGCTGTGATTTGTGTCAAAAGATAAAGTCGAATCAATCTAAAGAGAAATAAAACACAAAAAATTTCAGTATTATGCTTCAAAAAGTTGACAAATTTTTCAAATTTTTAAATTTCAGAGCTCATATTATTTGTACTTCAACCTTAATAACATTTCAACAATCCTGCTATAAAACATTTTATTATTTCCTGCTAAGAAAAGCCTGTAAAGACACAGCAACAAGAAAAAAATACAAAATAAGCACAATAAACAATGGCATAAAATGTAAGAAAAAGCAAAATAATTACGAAAAAATGAGTTTTTGAAGGAACTTTCTCCATAGTGTTTCAACATAAGTTATAGAGTCCACAATAATGATCACAGCATCCATAAAGGTACACATCTGTTGCCGGGTGTTGGTGGCGCACGCCTTTAATCCCAGCACTCGGGAGGCAGAGGCAGGCGGATCTCTGTGAGTTCGAGACCAGCCTGGACTACCAAGCGAGTTCCAGGACAGCCTCCAAAGCCACAGAGAAACCCTGTCTCGAAAAACCATAAAAAAAAAAAAAAAAAAGGTACACATCTGTAATCTCAGCAGTCAGGAGGCAGAAGTAGAAAGAAGTAAAAGTTTGAGAAAGGCTAGGACTACATAGTGAGACTGTGTCTCAGAAAGAATAACATAACTAAAGATGAATGCACTTTAAAATTTTTTCAAAATACCTGCAACATTTTTGCCAGTAAGGACAGAACTGTCATTTTGCTTTCTGGAGCAGAATCTGTAGCCCACCAGGAATCACACTTCCTCCAGTTTTGCAGAATTGCAGCTGCAAGCTTCAGTCCGTGGTGTTTCTGAACAGCCCGATCCCTGAAGCTCTGATCTAACATACCATTTAAAACAGTACTCACCTGAAAAAAAATTATAGATTGAAGAAAAATTCTTAATACTGATAGGAAAAAATATACTTTCGTGTCAAAGTTATTGTAGGAAAATGAAAATGCTATTTCTTTAACAGATGTTAACCTATCTAAAATTCTAACAGCACTGTAACATAAATTTCCCAGAGAAAGCAGAAGGTAGCCCTGCTGATCCCCTTGTGCCCACTCTGCTGTGAGGGTGGGGATGGGGGCATTTTCTATGGAATTCCATTTGGACACAACTACCACCTTTGCAACAGAACAACATAATTAATATGGTTAGATTATCATTCAATATTCCCATCATTCTGACAACATGAACATTTTTTACAAATGTTCCATGTAGTAATCAACACATTTCTCTTATTATACAGTCTGCTCTCTCTATAGCTAAATCTTGGCAGATCTCTTAGCTGATTTCAGTGAGCCTATCTATGTCATCAGACTCTCCCAATCAAATGAATCATGCCACTCCAACTTCGTCAATCAGTAAATTATCTGCTTCAAGAGATACGGCACTGGCTGTGTTATGAAAGGCCAGACCTAAATAACGTATATTCCCCTTTGCACAGAGCCAAATACAACACCTTCCTCATTCTCAGCATACTGCCTTCTTACTATCTACCTGGCAGTTTCCTGACAAGAGGTAAATCAGGAAATACATCCCTTTATGACCTGGATTAACTAAACCTGTGTATTCTACTGCCTCACATAACTGAGGATCTGGCTGCACTTAAAACTCCAATCTTTTGATCTTACAGTATCCACAATTCTGTTGAGAAAACAATGTCATTCAATTTCTCAATCCTACACATAACTACCTAATCTCCTTGAGAACTTCTGGGATATTGTTTCATGGTGAGCCTTTGGAAAACATGCTCCCTGAGAAATTATTCTCAAACCAGAGGCAAACCAATCTACAGCCCTTTTACAGATGAGAATTCCAGTTCACCACCACTTTCCTATGAAGCTGCAGTCCTGACCAGTCAGTTACAGGATACTTCATCTTCATATCTCTCTCTGTCCGTCCATCCATCCATCCGTCCGTCCGTCCATCCGTCCGTCCGTCCGTCCCTCCTTCCCTTCCTCCCTCCCATTTGTCTTTCTCTCTCTCTCCCCCCCCCCACACTTTTTTCTTTGTGACAGGGTATTAGTCCTTGCTATTAGAACTTGCTATGTAGTGCTATGCAGACCAGACTGGTCTTGAACTCACAGAAATCTGCTTGCCCTTGCCTCCCATGTGCAGAGAATCACTTTTATTTTGCTTTTGCTTTGTATTTTCACCTTACTCTCTGTGAGTTTCTCAATTTTATTTTCTCCACATATCTTGTTTTTTAATTTCAGGTACCTATGCTTACTCCCAGAGTAGTCTCCAATCTTCTCAGTCAGTAGCAATTCTTATTTCATCTTTGTGTCTCTGTCCTGCTTTCCCGGCTCTGCTTCCCTCCTCAACCCCTCTAACACAGTCTTTCCACCCTCTTCTGCTATGGACAAGCTAAGGTTTGAACTGGCACACTTGTCCTGCTTTGCAATTTCTGACATTCTGCTCTTCTTTCTCTGCACTTTCTTAATCCCATTCTGTCATTTCAGAGATTTGTGGGGAAGAAATAGAGGCAGTAAATGCAACTTTTCTTAACAATGGACAAGGATGGGACATGTAAAAGGTCAGGCTAGTAGAAATTATAACTCTGGAAATACTGCTAGCTTAGTTTCTGACTACCTATAGAGCACAATGCAGATAACATTTCACAATCATGTAAGATAGGCCAGGTTTGGTAGCATATCCTTTAATTCCAGTACTTAGAAGGCAGAGGCATAGACAGAAGTAGGAGAATCTGTTAAGTTTGAAGTCAACGTGATCTACGAAGTGAGCTCCAAGACAGCTAGGCCTACATATTGAGACCCTATCTCAAAATGAAATAAAATAATGAAAAACAAAATAAATAAAAACCAAACAAGCCACAAACCCCCTAAGTTAAGCAAACAAAAAGCAAATATATTAAATATTACTCTCTAAAGGGATACTATGATGAGACAAAGAGCATTGCGGCAAGAACATGCAGGAAAATAGGGCAAGACTCTAAAGCTATTAGTGCTCTAAAGACAGGTTGGCAGTGTGGAGGACCAGCCTACAGGTGGTGTTGGAACAAACACTGCTAGGCACATTTCACATATGGAAGCTCCAATATGACATTTAGAAAAAGCCAGTAACCTACAGCATTGTAAACTACTACATCTTACAGTGTTAGGCCAAGAGACTGAAAGGGTTTGAGGGAATGGAAAAAAAATAACCAATGTTTAATATCTATTAACATATGCTAGCTGGATAAAGACTGTGTTTTATTTCTATGGATTTTTATTTTCATAGATTAGAATATCTTTAATCCTTCCAGGAAGAAATCTGATCTTAAGAAAATCCATCAGAAACATAAAAAAATCCTTTTGTGAGCATTAGACAAGAAAATATATAAAGGAAAAGCTCCTTACCATTTTGGGATTATCTGCTGATGACTTCATGAGCTCTGATACAGCAATATCAAGATTTTTCAATAGTTCACTGTTGATTATTTCTGAGAACAAGCTATAGAAATATTCCCCATGGGAGAAGCTGATATTTCTCTGTAAACTGCCCAAATACTTCGTAGACAACAGTGCTGAATTCAGCAGCAAATTCACAAGGTGCTCACACTAAGGAAGAGAGAAGAACATATCAGAGAATCCAACTTCAAAAAGACCCTGAGGCAGTGGGCACACAGTAAATCTACAAGGAGCCTTCTAAAGAGAGTATAATATGTAAAATCAGGACTCAAGTTTAAATAGCAAGTTTTTAATTTAACTTCTATTTTCTAGGTCTTACTTTGTGAAAGAAATCTTCTACACTGATATTGCTTCCAAATTTCCAGAAAAATCTTGTTGTGTTGAGAGAATAGCCTAATATTAATTAATAAGTCATTTGGAACACCTTAAGTATAATTGAGAACATCAATGAGACAGAGGCTCTCGCAAAGGGAGAAGTAATCAGGGAGGATGGAATGGAATAAATACACAGGGCTGGTTGCAGATCTCAGCTACAACAGTTTATCTGAGGTCAGCTGGGCTCAGCTAAAAGAGTCATGAGGACTTTGGTCATGGTGCCTTGGGTGCCTCAGGGATTATTCTCCAGGGTCTTTTTAGTCATCCATTCCAAGAACCAATAAGGATAGGGAAAGTAGCATGTCAATATAGGTCAACTTTAGTGACAAAATGTTCTTTGCCTAAAGTCCTTTTGGAAACAAAGCTGGACAGAATACTTCCATTTAAGAATGTTATGATTTTTAAATTTTAAAACAAATTTTAAAGAAGATAGTCTTTAAAAAGTCCTGGGTGGTGGGGCACACCTTTAATCCCAACATTTGGAGAGCAGAGGTAGACGAATCTCTCTGAGCTTGAGGCTAGTTTGGTCTACAGAGCAAATTCCAGGACAACCTGAGCTACACAAAGAAACCCTATCTTGAACCATTCCTACCTCTCTCCCCAAAGTCAGTAAGTCAATTATGTGTCCAAGACTTTACTAAATTTCATACTTTTAGAGATACACCACAAGTAAGTTATATAAGTCACTTAGTAGGAAGTGTGGGATGCAGCTGATTCCCCTACCAGTCCTTCGTAGTAAAAGGCTAACTCCAGGAGTCCATTGGCCAGGCTCATACAGCTGGGGTCCAACGATTGCAGGCACTGCCTTTCCTCTGAAGGTGCAATGCCTTTATAAACCAAAGAGAGCAGTCTCATACCAATGGAATTATTCAATGCTGTAGACTAAAGGAAAAATTGCCAAGAATTACCTGGTGAGAAAAGGTGTTTAACACAAACAAACAATGTCACTTCTTCAGTTAAAAAATATGTGTTAGCTAACACAGGACTATAGCAATTGGTTCTTAAAATAGTTTAGGTTGTTAAAATGATCTTTTATTCCTTTTTCACTGTATCTTTACTTTTATATTCACATCTAGCCAACACCTTTATGTTAAGTGTTCTGTAATATCCATTTCAGTATATTCTGTATATAAAATATTTTAAATAATATAAAATACTAGCATAATGAAACTACTATAACAAAGCTGAAGGCACATAAAAAATAATTACGGTTACCTGAGATGGTGATATAACATGAGAGAAGCCAGCTTTGTGAAGCTGTTTACAGGCAGATAAGACAGACAGCAACTTGGTCCTTTCTCGGCGAGCATCAGAGCTACACAAGTTAATGGCACAGAGCTCTTCAACACTAGCCATGAGAAAAACAGAAAAGCAGAAAAGAATAAACTAAGGAAAGCCAGGAGGTGGTGGTGAACGCCTTTAGTCCCAGCACTTGAGAGGCAAAGGTAGGTGGATCTCTGTGAGTTTAAAGCCAGCCTTGTCTACAGACCGAGTTCCCAGACACCAGAGCTACACAAGAGACTCTATTTCAAAAACAAAACAGAAGAGAGAGAGGGAAAAAAGAGGGAGGGGGAAGGGAAGGGGAGGGGGAGGGAGGGAAGTAGGAGGGAGGGAAGGAGAGAGAGAGAGAGAGAGGAGAGAGAGAGAGAGAGAGAGAGAGAGAGAGAGAGAGAGAGAGAGAGAGAGAGAGAGAGAGAGAGAGAGAGAGAGAGAGAGAGAGAAGACACTAAGGAATTGTATGTGCTGTAATCACCTGGCCCTCAAATTCATTAACATGGTCCTGGAAAACACAAAAACACCACCAGAAGAAGGCTTACAGGACAAATTAGTCATGGAAAGCAAATGTAGCATATCTACTGTACTCTCCCATCCTACAAGCAGGAAAGGAATTAGTGAAGTTCATGATTTCCCAAAATCATGTGCCCGCACGCATGCACTATAAAGTGCCTTTCTTGAGGACACTGTAGCTGTGCGCATGGTGTCAGGAACACTGGATGTGGGAAGACCGACATCCCAGTAACTGTGAGCATGGCCTGAGCACCCACCTCTGCACTGTCACTTTCTCCTTCAGGTGAGTCTCCAGCATGTCTCTGTATGGGGACTTCTTTAGTGCTTTCAGCAGGTTCACACAAATGCTGGGAAGATGGTTTATAACCTGGACATCGCCAACGTTGAAACCTAAGCTTGTGGGCTCACAAAGCATTTTCACTAAGACTTTCATAAGGTTTGTGTTACACAAGTCCTTCTCCAGGAGCTTTAAAGATAGAAAAGATAGATTGAATAAAAGTGCTTCTGAGCCAGTAGCTCTCTTTTCAAGACAGCGTAAACAAGGTCCACAGGCTGGGAATATTCACAAAACCAACAATTTGGCAGACTTTCTCAAAAGAACTGAAGAGTATTAAAATGCTTAAAGCCAAAAAATTTCAGATTTTGATTTTTTTAGTTTTAGAATATCTGGATGATATCACTACACTGAAAACCTAAAAGCAAAAATCTTCCAAAACCTGAGACATTTGACATTCAAGTTTAGGAACAGTTCAGATTTCTGCTTTTCAGATTAGAAATGTTCAGCATTTATTTTCAAAAACAGGTTGTACACTGTGGTAACTATAGTTAACAACAATGCATACTTGGAAACTGCTAAGACTACAACTGGAAAAGTTCTCATATGGGGTAAAATGTGAGGATGTCGGCCGGGCGGTGGTGGCGCACGCCTTTAATCCTAGCACTCGGGAGGCAGAGGCAGGCGGATCTCTGTGAGTTCGAGGCTGGGCTGGACCGATAGCCTCCAAAACAATACAGAGAAACCCTGTCTCGTAAAAACCAAAAAAAAAAAAAAAAAAAAAAAAAAAATGTGAGGATGTGAGGGAACTTAACCACATATATACATAGATCAAAATATCATGGTGAAAACCACAAATATGTTCAGTTTTTACTCATCAATTAAGGAAAATAATGGAAAGTCACAGAGGAGCTAAAGTCACTTCTAAAAATTATTAAAGAGAGCAATTATGTTTTAATTAGCATATATTATAGAGAGTAGTGAGTTTCCTTGTGACAATATCATATGTGCATATAACCTTTTGATGACGTTGAACACCCCTATAACTCTTTTGTCCTTCTCTCCTCTACCTTACCTCTTTCCTCCTCTTTAAAAGCACCTCACCCTTGTGTTTTTATATCTTCCCTAGTCCAAACCTGACAGGAAATGTGATACTTGTCTGGGTCTAGCTGACTTCACATAATATAACTTCTAGTTCCATTTATTCTCCAGTAAATGATATTTCATTATACTTTAAGACTAAAGAATAGTACTCTATGGTGCATATAAACACGTGTGTGTGTGTGTGTGTGTGTGTGTGTGTGTGTGTGTGTGTGTGTGTGTGTGTGTATCTTTATCCATTCATTTATGAATGGCACCATGGCTGATTACCTAACTTGCTATTGTGAACAGTGTTGCAAGAAACATGGTTACCTCCAGGCACACACCTTTAATCATGGCACTCAGGAGGCAAAAGCAGGTGAACCTTTGTGAATTGCAGGCTACCCTGGTTTACATAGCAAGTTCTAGTCAGTCATGGTTACAGTTTCTCTTGTCTCAAAAAATATGGGGTTGGGAGTGGGTATAGGCATCTCTATGCTGATTTTGATTCCTTTAAGTATATAACAAGAATGGTGTGCCTGGGTCCTATACGGTGATTCCACTTTTAGTTTTTGAGGATTATCCATAGTGACTTCCTCAGTGGCTAGGCTAATTTATGTTTCTATTTTTAGTGAAAGTACAGTGATACAAATGGAGCCCACAGCTTACAAACGGCAAGCAAACACTTCCCCATTGAACTACACCCTCAGACCCTGCCACCACAAAGCAGTATTTGAGTTCCTTTTCCTCCCATCTCCACCACTATTTGTCACTGTTTGATTTCTTGATAACTATTTGAGTTGGGCTAAGATAGCATCTCAATATAGTCTTGATATATTTCTCCCTTGTGGCTAATGATCTAAGGCAGTGGTGCTCAACCTTCCTAATGCTGTGACCCTTTAACACAATCCCTTATGTTGTAGTGACCCTCAACCATAAAATTATGTTTGTTGCTACTTCATAACTTTAATTTTACTACTGATATGAATCATAATGTAAATATTTTGGAGATAGAAGTTTGCCAAAAGGGATATGACCCATAGTTTGAAAACCACTGCTCTAAGGCAAACTTAAAAACATTTCTCATTATAAAGTACTAATCTAAAATTAACAGAGCAGGAAGCACGATCCCACCTTGCAAACATCTGGAGAGGTACTGAGCAGGGTTGTGGTAAATTCCATAATCCGGACTAATACTGTGCATTTGCTGTAGTTGTATTTTTCTTCCTCTTGTAGGCTGGGAGGGCCAGTTGCCACCCCTGTGCCAAAGCACTGCACTACTGCTTTAGCATCATGTGTTGCTAGGCTTTCTAAAAAGAAAGCCACTGACTTCAAAAGTGAAGACTGTGTTTCAGTACCTAGAAATAGTAACAGGAAAATATTAGTGTGCATTTCTTCCTAACTCTACTAAAATGAATGTGAAGTTCTTTCTTAAAATACAGATAATGATATACACTCAACAAAAATGCAAGAAAAAAATTTTTAAAGTTCAAGAAAGGATGAACAAAACAGCAGTTATTTCTTCTTAGTTTCTTAGTTCAAATTTTGAACTAAATTATAATCTAAATAGAATTCAATTTCACACATAGACAGCTACAATGTCTACATTAGGATCTGACCATGTTTATTTACATATTTATTTAATTAGTAGGAATGAACATAGCATGCTAACAAAGTACTCTACCGCTGTGCTATATCCCAGCCCTCTTGTTACGGTTTGAACACGTTGCCCAGCTGGTGTAGCTACTCCAGTTCTGCAGCTTTTAAAAGGTAAGAACAGTTAGAAGACGCAGGGCCCTGATGGGGCATCTTTGTGTTCAGGGACACTCTCAGTTTTTTTCAGTAATGAGGTGAAGAGATCTGCCTTATCTTCCTGTCATCATGACATATATCAGTCAGGACTCCATGGACAAAGTCCTCTAAAACAATGAGCCAAAGCAATGCTGTCCTTCAAAGTGTTTATGTCAGGATATTGTTACAAAACAAAGTTTGACTAACAGAAGCCTTGACTGTCAAATATGCCTTATGAGAACTAACATTTTAAAGAGCAATTTGGCAACTCATATAAAAAAACTTAAATAAATATGCATGTTAATCTCTAACAAATATCTTAAAATTCCTACGGTTTTATTTAGCACTAGAATTTAAATTTTAAAAAATGATGGCAAGCCTGGCGGTGGTGGCGCACGCCTTTAATCCCAGCACTCGGGAGGCAGAGGCAGGTAGATATCTGTGAGTTCAAGACCAAGCTTGGTCTACTGAGTGAGTTCCAGGCCAGGCTCCAAAACAATACAGAGAAGCCCTGTCTCGAAAAAAAACCAAAAAAAAAAAAAAAAAAAAAAAAAAGTCTGTTATAACTCTGCAATGACTCTATTTGGCCCTAAGCTGTTTTTGGTTGAGAGACTTAATTGCTGCTTCTATTTCACTATGAATTATAGGAATGTTTCAATTGCTTATCTGATCTTGATTTAACTTTGGTAAGTGGTATATAGCAAGAAATTTATCTATTTCTTTTAGGTTTTCAATTTGGTAGAGTACAGATTTTTTTTAAAGTGTGTCTTTATGATTCTCTGCATTTCCCCAGTGTCTGTTGTTAGACTTCCTCTTTTCACTTCTAATTTTCTTAATTTAGATCTTATCTGTCTTTAATTTATTAATCTTACTGATTTCTCAAAGAAACAACTCTTCATTCATTGTAGTGTTTGTTATTTTACTGATTTCGGCCCTGAGTTTATTTCTTGCCATCTACTCCTTTTGGATGTGTTTCTTCTTTTTGTTCTAGAACTTTCAAGTGTGCTTTTAAGTTATTAGTATGATCTGTCTAGTTCTTCTCAGTGCTTGCTAAAAACCTGCCTCGTAGTCCCACCTTCATGTGTCCCACAGTTTGGATATATTGTGTTTTAGTTTCATTTAATTCTAAAAAAGTTCCTAATTTCTGTCTTGACACAATTTTTACCCACTAGTGAGTTATTCAGCTTCTATAAGTTTATAAGTCTTCTGTTGTCTCTGTTGTTATTGGTATCCAGATCAAAATGCAGGGTGTTATTTCAAGTTTCTTGTATCTGTTGAGACTTGCTCTATATTCATATATGTGGTTAGTTTTGGAGAAAGTTCTATGGGCTTCTGAGATGAAGATAATTTCTTTTGTATTTGAGTGAAACATGCTGTAAATATTTCTTAAGTCTATGGGATTTATGACAGCAGTTAGTTCCAGCATTTCTCTGTTTAGTTTTTGTCTAGATGACCTGTCTATGGGCAAGAACAGAGTATTAAAGTCACTTATTATCAGTATCTGCAAGTCAATATGTGATTTTAGCTGTTGTAGCATTGTGTGTTTGTTTTTAAACTTGGTTGTTCTTGTGTGCATGAATTGCAATGTCCTCTTGGTGGATTTTTCCTTTGATGGGTATATGGCGTCCTTCGTTTCTCTTCTGATTAGTTTTGCTCTGAAGTCCATTTTGCCAGACACTAAAATGGCTACACCAGCTTGATTCTTAGGTCCATTTGCTTAGAATATCCTTTCCATTCTTTTACTCTTGAGATGATGTCTGTCTGCAGACAACATGAAGTCCTGTTGCTCATAGATCAGCACTAGAGAAGCCTGGAACTGTCTCTTCAAAGGCAGAGATGTATGACTTGTTAATGTTCAGAAGCCTGGGAATGAATGTAGTTACTAACCTGGTGACCTCTGTACTATCTGTATGACTGAGGCCACACCTGCTCCCTGAGACTCTTACAAACAGGACCAGAAATGGTTGATTAATAGTAGCCTAGTGACCTTTGGGCTATCTGTATGACCCAGACCATACCATATCTCCCTCAAGCCCTTAAGATGACACGTGTAGTAAATCTATAGAAGCTATCTTTATGGAAGAGGTGACATATCCTTTGAAAAGAGTTTCATTGTAATTATGTTTTAAACCTTATTGAGCACATGGTATTGTGTTACATCAGGAAAACTTTTCTCCAAATTGCACTGTACATGAATATGCCTAAAAGAAACTGTCTGGTGTCAGACCCTAAAAGTTTGAAGCAGCACCAAGTACTTTCAAATCCATTCTGTTAGTCCGTGTTTTTCTTATTGGGAAACTGAGACCGTTGATGTTGACAGTTGTCAATGAGCAGTGTTTGTTGATTTCTGTTATTTTGTTATGGTGTGGTGTTTTGTCCTCCCTTTTTGGATTTGCTGTCTGAGATTATTTTTTCCTCATGTTTCTTGAGTGTGGTTAAATGCTTCTGATCAAAGTTTTCCTCTATCACCTTCTGTAGAACTAGATTTGTACGTGTATACTGTTTAATTTGGTTTGTTGTGGAATGATTTTCTTTCTCCATCATTTCTGACTGAAAGTGTTGCTGGGTACAATAGACTGAGCCTGTATCTGTGTTCTCTTTATGTTTGTACAACACCATCCAGGCCTTTATGGCTCTTATGCTTTCCATTGAAAAGTCAGGTGTCATTATAGGTCTGACTTAATATACTATTTGGTAATTTTCCCTTGCAGTTTTTAATATTCTTTCTTTGTTCTGTACATTTAGTGTTTTGATTATTAGGTGTTGTGGGGAATTTCTTTTCTGTTCCAAAACAGCCAGAACTGTTACACAGAGAAACCCTGTGAGCTTGTGGTCAGCCTGGTCCACAAAGCCAGTTCCAGGACATCCAGAACTGTTATACAGAGAAACCCTGTCTCAAAAAAAACAAACTTCAAACAAACAAAAAAAGAAGCCTGGAATATATCTCAGTGGTAGAAAATCCAGGTAAAACCCCTTTATACTGCACTAAGTAGCTAGTGTCTGTTACCAATTATGTTAGTATTTACGGTATGTATGTATGTATGATGTATGTATGTGTACGCTATGTTTCACGGGACAGGGTTTCTCTGTGCAACAGTCCTGGCTGTCCTAGAACTTGCTTTGTAGACCAGGCTGGTTCAAACTCACAGATATCCACCTGCCTGTGCCTCCTGAGTGCTGGGATTAAAGGAGTGTACCACCACCACCTGACTTCAATTTTGTTAGTATTATTTTAATTTTAATTTTCTACACAGGTCTCACCATGTAATCGTGGTTGTCCTGGTAGCATCTCTGTAGATAAGGCTGGCCTAGAACTCACAGCCTGAGTCTCCAAAAGTGCTTGCTAGTGTTATTCTGACATGCAGTGAGTAGTTGACCTGGCATAAACCAAGTAGAATCAGACAATGCTACCTTAAAGTAAATTTTACCTACCAAGGACCTCTTGTGCTTCCACAGTCTTCTCCTCAATGAATGTGTTGTAGCATTCCAGTGCTGCAAGGAGCATGTCCAGCCACTGCAGGACTGCTCGCAGGCTGACTGTCCCTTGCAAATGGAAGAGAGTTGGCTGAGCAAGAATGCCTGCTGGCTGATCACAGCTGCTATCCCCTCCTTCAAATGTGTTTATGAGAAAAGAAATATCTTCTGTTTTTATAAGATCTTTCAACCATAAAGAAGGGGATTTGTTGCCTAAGAGACAAAATTAAAACATATACATTAGTATACGCATAAAGCAGAGATATCAACATTCAAAAATTAAACCCCTTTAATCTTTGAGCCTAGTTAAAATTTCAAAATGATACTATGCTAATTTGTGTCACTGTTCTTACTTCTAAGAAGTTATTGACAGCAAAGCTGTTCTCTTCAGTTTCCTAACATTATAAAAGCACCATCTGGAACAGCAACAGACTGACACTCTGCCCCTGACCTTTTCTTTTCAGGTTACAAGAGAGTGCTGTGACTTCTGAGTTCTGATGCTGGTTATGCTGCTCACATCTCCGAAGACCTGGCCTCTACATCTCAGTCCCCTCATCCAAAAACAAGAATAACAGGGTACCTGTGATTATTTATGTTACCCAAACTAGCTTTGAACTTGTGGGTACAAGTGACCTCCCTGCCTCACCCTCACAAACTTCACACTAAGCAGTGTTTATTAACTAAGCCAAATGACTCGGTGTAAAAATTGTTTTCTTTTGATATTGTAGCTTTTCTAAATCAAAAAAGGAATGGGTAAAATTTCATTTTACATGTTAAGAAATCAGTGGCTCAAAAAGGGTTAAATGATTCTATCAGTGATTAACTTAGATAAGAAATCAAACGGGTATACTGATGATGTAGTAAGAGTACCTTTTTAAAAGAAAAAAAAAAGGAACAACCCATTATTTTCACTAAGAACCAAAGAAAATTATAATCATGAGCAGCAAAACAATATGGTATTTAAATTCTATAGCAGGTATCAGGAGGAAAAGGCTGATCTACAGACAGAATAAGACATGGGAACCTTATCAGGCACTGTGCTGGCTAGTCTTATGTCAACTTGCCACAAGGCAGAGTTATCTCAAAGGAGGGAACCTCAACTGAGAAGATGCCTCCATATGATATGGCTGTAGGGCATATTCTTAATTAGTGATTGACAGGAAGGGGCCTAACCCAAGGTGGGAGATGCCATCCCTGGGCTGGGGGTCCTAGGTTGTGTAAGAGAGCAGGCTGAGCAAGCCATAGGGAGCAGGTTAGTAAAGAGCACCCCTCCTGCCTCCAATGTTTTGCTCTGTTTGAGTTCCTGTCCTGATTCCTTTAGTGATAAATAGTGAAATGGACATGTAAGACAAATAAACCCTTTATTCCCCAAATTGCTTTTGGCCATAGTATTTCATCACAATAATAGTAACCCTAACTAGGACAGATGCAAAAAAAAAAAAAAAACAAAACATCCTTAGGGTCTCTTGGCTGACTGTAGTGGCATACCCCTGCAAACCCAACAGTATTAAGGAATGGGAAGAAGAAGGATGAAGAGTTCGAAGCCATACTCAGCTACATAGTAAGTATGAGGTCAGCCTTGGCCACACAGACTGTGTGGTGGTGCACGCCTTTAATCCCAGCACTCAGGAGGCAGAGGCAGGCAGATCTCCTCTGTGAGTTCAAGGCCTGGCTGGTCTGACAGCCTCCAAAACAATACAGAGAAACCCTGTCTCGTAAAACCAAAAAAAAAAGTTTGTCTCTGTCTATGTGTGTGTGTGTGTAAAAAGAGGAGGAGGAAGGGGAGAAAAAAGAACAAAAGGAAGAAGAGGAAGAAAGGAGTTATCGCTAAGGTTTTTCTCAATGTGTCTTGTTCTAGCCTCTATGACATCAATCAAACTCATAGAGTGTCTTAATGACCAGAAGAAAATGGACAATCATGTTTCTCAAAAGCCTGATACACATGATATAAATAAACCTAAATCTGCTGTGATATTCCACCAACCTGAGGTATTCATTTGCCTTGAAGTCTCAACAGTTACCTAGAGATTCCCACCACTGCTGCTCAAAAAACCAAAATAAAACAAAAAACAAAAAAACACAAAAATGAGGACCTGAAATTGGACCCACAACACCCTCATAAAAAGCAGGCATGGTGGTGTATATCCATACCACAGTGCTGGAAGGACAGACAAAGATGGATACCCAAACCTGTTGGCCTTCTAGGCAGGCCAATTAGTGAACAAATGAGAGACCCTGTCTGTCCTGTTTAGTTTTTTCTCAACTTGACACAAGCAAGGGTCATCTGACAAGAAGAAATGTCAACTGAAAAACATTCCTCTATCAGATTGGTCTGTGGGCAAGACTACGGCACATTTTCTTGCTCAATGATTAATATGAGAGGGTCCAGCACACTGAAGGCAGTCCCGTCCCTGGACAGACAGATAGTCCTCTGTTATATGAGAAAGAAGGCTAAAGAATCCATGGAGAACCAATCGGTAAGTAGTATTTAACCAGTGTCTGCTTTAGTTCTTGCCTCTAGGTTCTTGCTCTCACTTCCTTTCATGATGTAAACTGTCTACTGCCCAAGTTGCTTATGGTCATAGTTTTTTTTTTGTTTGTTTGTTTGTTTGGTTTTTTTTTTGGTTTTACGAGACAGGGTTTCTCTGTATTGTTTTAGAGGCTGTCGGTCCAGGCTGGCCTCAAACTCACAGCGATCCACCTGCCTCTGCCTCCCAAGTGCTGGGATTAAAGGTGTGCATCACCATCACCCAGCGGTCAAAGTTTTTAAGGCAGCAATAGAAAAGTAACTAAACACTGTATTTTTAGAACGCTGACAACTTTTTATTACTCATCTTGAAATACAACTGTGTTACTTTGAATATTTTAAATCTGTGAGGAGGAAGGGGTATTGGAAAATAAACTCAGGACCTTAAACGTATTAAGCATGTATTCTATCCATGAGTATGTCTCCAGCATACAATATTTAGATATTTACCAAGTTTTGTTAGCTGCAATGGAAAATTAGTTCTTCATTAATATTTAAATGAGACAGAAAAAAAGTGTGGTGAAATAAAATTGATAATAGGAATCCCAAATTTTTGTATCATATCATGAATACCAAAATTAAACATATTCATAATTTATCATGTCAACAAACCTAGAATGAATATTGAACATACTTACTTTTTTTTTTTTTTTTGGTTTTTACAAGACAGGGTTTCTCTGTATTGTTCTGGAGGCTGTCGGACCACCCCGGCCTCGAACTCACAGAGATCCGCCTGCCTCTGCCTCCCGAGTGCTGGGATTAAAGGTGTGTGCCACCACCGCCAGGCGAACATACTTAATTTTACAACAATTTTATTTATTTAAATTTCTTTGAGAAAGGGTTTCTCTGTGTAACCCTGGCTGTCCTGGAACTCCCTTTGTAAACCCACTGGCCTTGAACTCACTGAGATTCTCCTGCCTCTACCTCCCAAGTGCTGGAATTAAAGGATGTGTACCACTACCACTTAGAAATTTTTTAAATTCTATTTTGTGTATGGATATTTTGCTTATATGTACATATGTGAACCACATGAATGCAGTGCCCAAGGAGGACAGGAAAGGGTGTCCTATCCCCTGGGAATGGAGTTATAGGTGGTTATCAGTTGACATGTGGGTGATGGGAATTGAATCTGGGTTCCCTGGAAACGCAGTCAGTGCTTTTAACACGGAGCCATCTCTCCAATCCATACTTACTTTTAAATTTATTATAAACATACTAGGTGTGATGCAAGCTTGTCATTCCAGCACTCTGAAAGATGAGGCAGGAGGATTCTGAGTTATAAAGAAAAATGTGGGGGGGGTGGAGGAGAGGAGGAGGAAGAGAAGAGGAAGAGGAGGGAGGAAGTAAATGTTATTTGTATTATTCATTTAAACAGAATTATAATGTTTTCATTAGTCTACATCTCCAAACTGGCAAAGAAAGCCAATCATTTTGATAGATGTAAAGAATAAAGACACTGAGCTATCGAGATGATACGGCAGGTAAGGGTATATGCTGCACAATTGTGGCAATCTGATCTGATCTATGGAATTTAGCTAAAGATGAAAGGAGTAAATAGAATCTTCAAAGTCGGCCTTTGGCCTCCACACATGCACTTTGGTACAGGTACTAATCCCTTCTCTACTTTAATCATTTTTTTAATTAAAAAAAAGAAAGAACATACCTGGCAGTAAAGGAACAAATTTATAAAAGAGTTCTATGGACTTGTGTCGACATTCTGTTTGAGGCCTTCCACAGTGAGCTAAAAGCCACTTGACTAGATCCAATAAACACAATGATGCCATCGGTGGAAATCCCCTACACAGAAAGAACATGCTGTCAACATCCTATCCAACATTCAGCGTACACCTAGGCAAGAATTTAGAAACCTGAAACTCAATTTTACAATGACATATGTAACTGGCATATTCATTTTTTAATGTATTACCATTAGAATGTAACCAAGGTATCAGAGGTTAACTCACAGAGATCTGTCTGCCTCTGCTTCCCTGGTGCTGGGATTATAGATGTTTGCCACAATATCTAGCTTCAATTTAGTTTCAACATAAAAAAAATATATGTTTGTGCAGTTTTGGGGAGAAAATTCAAGTACTCAGGCCCTATTTCCTTTCACTATGGGAAAAATTTTTAAATATGCTTCAGAAACAGAATAATGTATTTTCATGTTTCCATTCTAATGTGTTCTTTCAACAACAAAACCCCAAAGCTGTAGGGTGTAAAGCAATGCTTCTTAGAAGCTCATCTTTGTGAACTGGTTATAAATCTAAGTTGTCTGATCCTACCCTAGCCCAGATGGAGCCTGTACAACAATCGGGATTTAATTAGACTTCCAATTAATTTTAATACATGTGACCAAGAACCAATTGTCTAAAGTTATGTTACAAGTTAGAAGAGTCTGAAAGACTCAACTGTAGTATTTTATGTTGTTTCTTGACAAGTCTCATTCAGCTGAGGCTGGGACTGAACTCTTAATCCTCACACCTCTCCCTCCCAAGTGCTGGGATTACAGGCATGAGCCTACCACCTTTCTTGATGGCTTCTTTGAGATAAGGGTGAGAGGGTAGGAGGAACATGAAAAATTACCCAGGCTAATCTCAAACTATGCTTAATTTCCAAGCAGTCAGGATTACTGATGTAGCAACCAGGCCTGAAGGTATCAATTTTTAAATGGTAAAAATATAAATATCCACTATATACAGGTCCAGAGGTGAGGCTGCCAGTATAGATACCATGATTCCCCATACACTGCATAGAGTAGCCATATACTGCATAGAGCAGAGGACCAATGCACTGTACCACCATCCTGCCAAACAATGGAGCATCACTGGGCCCCTGGGGTAATCACTGGTCAATACTCACTCAGTCTGACTTTGAATAACTTTCTCATCACAATTTGATTATTCCAAGTCTCTTGATCATCATCATCTTCCCTTCCTTTCTTCCTTTCTTTTTATTTTTTTCCTAAATAGAACTGTAGTTGTCTAGTGGAAAAGTCTTGGTTTTACAGGATGAAAGATCTTTGGGAGCTGGTTGTACAACAGTGTGACTGTACATAAACACTACTAAACAGTACGAGCAAAAATGCTTAAAGTGATAAACTTTATGTGTGTACTTCATCACAATTAAAAATAGCAAATAAATTAATGTCTACTTGGAGCATCATTCAATTCCTATGCCTCCTCAAATTCTGAGTAGTGGTGAACAAAATGTACTCTGAAATCAGAGTTCACCTTGGCATCTCCCTTAGACACTTACATGAGCTTGAACAAGATGCTCCATCTTCAAAGTACATCTTAAATCTAAATATGCATTTTATCTTCCAGGTGACTATATCTTATTAAATAAAACACTTCCTAAACACTTCCTGGAAATGCTGCTAACAAGTTTCCAGTGATCAGGCTGTTTAAATGGTCACTAAATGATTTCTAGTCTAAGAAGGAGTTGGTAACTTGACTTGATTCCTGACTGAATGCACACTTCTGCTCTATTCACTCTGTAAGTGAGACAGCTCTAAACTAACACTGCAGACAGTGTTCTACCAGGAGTCAGCATCTTTGATTGAATGTGACACTCAGTTTTTATACTTCCAAATTTATTGTGTAACAGTTCATGAATATCCTAGTTAAATAATTACTTATGGAACTTGTTTTTAAACTTAGTACACATAAAATACAATGCCCATCTCAGGTTCCAAACTTACTGTCAATCTGAACACCTATTCAAATCTTAATCATCATCTTCCTTAAACCAGGTACTTTCAAATGTAAAGCTTTAAATTTTGTTGGAAAGTTGAATGTTAATACCATACTTCTAACATTCCTTCATTACAAAGAAAAATCTTTATCTTCTACACATCTGTCTGACAACCTTTATAGGATGGAATTAACTTTGTGTTGGGTTAATTAGGGGAAAAGGAAAAAGTATCACCTACTGTGGTCGCCGTCGTTTTTTTGATTTGTTTAAAGAAACGTGCTTCTTTTCAATGATGCGTCTTAGGTGATCAATGGCATCACAGCACTGCTGAATTGTACCTGTATTTGTATCCAGTACAAAAGATTTCACAGAAAACATATAGCAGATTATTATTGATAAAGTACTACTGTAAGTCTGTTGATCTGATTTTGTGACTACAAAGTAACTTTACTACAGATTATTTCCTCATCTAAGAATATGAAATTAAAATAAATGACTTACTGAATGGGAGGACAGGAGGGAGAGGGAACTTGGATTGGTATGTAAAATACGATTGTTTTTAACTTAAATAAATAAATGACTTACATTTCAAATCCTAAATTAAATCCAGACTCATGATTACAGGAAGCCATGGCACATGCATGCATATTACATACATACATATAGCATAAAGGAGTATCACATCTAAACAGAAGCTACACATTCAAATAGACACAACAACTAAAGCACCGCCTTGCATGACAGACCAGACCAGAAGAAACTTCTGGGTGCCGTAAGTCAGTCCAGGCACTTCACCTCAGAGCCATTGTGGCTTAATATATAGCCACTATAGAAAGAACAGAATTAAAGACATTCTACAGGGGTCTAGAAGAAAGAATGCAACACAGTTACTTCTACCACTAAGAAAATGTTCTTTTGTTGTAGTTTTCTTCTCTCACTCTGTGCATGTGTATGTGTGTGTGTGTGTTTGTGCACGCCCATGTGTCCACGCACATGTGGATACATACATTTTGGGTACTGGGTGTTAAAATCCGGATGCTGATCCACAACATCAACTTGAAAATGTATAAAGTAGGGTCTGGAGAGATGGCTCAGCAATTAAGAGCAGTTAAATGCTCTTCTAGAAGACCCAAATTCACCCATATGGCAATTCATAACTGTCCATAATTCTAGTTCCAGAGGGTCCAACACCCTTTTCCAGTCACCATGGGCACAGGAACCCAGATAAGAGTACAGGCATACATGTAGTTAAAACACACACACATACACTAAAAATGATAGTAAGAAAAAAATTTCTTAAGAATGAGATGCCTAGGTGGGTAAGAGCAGTTGCCACCAGGCTTGGCCATCTGAGTTTGATTCTGAAGACCTACAGGGCTAAGACAAAACAGGATTGCACAATTTATCCTCTGACCTCCAGACCTGTGCCATGGCACTCATGCCTCCCACATACACATTCCACAAAATAAATAAATTAGAAAAAATAAGAGTTGAGAAAATTTTTCTTCATTGGGAAATCAATTAAGAACTAAATTTTACAAATTTATCAGCATAAAAGGTTATCAGAGCATGTCTGGGAATGGTGGCACCTGCCTTTAATCCCAGCACTCGGGAGGCAGAGGCAGATGGATCTCAGTGAGTTAGAGGTCAGTTTGGTCTACAAAGTGAGTTCCAGGAGAGACAGGACTACAAACAGAGAAACCCTACCGAAAAACCAAAACCAAACAAACAAACAAAAAGATTATCAGTGCCTAACCAGTCATTTTAGGAATTAAGCTAACACCAGATGTGAATAAGTAAAAGAGAAGTGCCACACATGGCTGTATGATCTAATCCTTCAATGACAACTGCCTCAGGGACCTGACTATACCAATTAATGGGACCAACAGAAACTTCTGGCTCTAAAGTTTTATGGGGTTCCTAACTATTGCCAGACAAAAGTTAAGATTTTTAGCATCTCTTATCATGAGCCCAGAAACAATGGCCATATCTCAGTGGTTCTTCGTGCTCAGCTCTCTTCTGAACTCAGAATGTCCATCTGCGTTTTTGTGCCAGTACAGCTAGTGACTAGCACACCTCTCTCGCAGGATTCGCCAGCCAAGACTGGCTGCTGGGTACATAGGAGGAGTCTTGGAGTATAAAGACACTAATTTTTTTATGTACTGGATTTGGGACATTGCGTGTGAGATAACAATGTATCTTCACTTCACAATTACCAGATCAGCCAAGAAGAATGTGAAAAAAGAAAAATGCCACCTCATAAAAAGGATCATGTACACCCTGGATTCTGAGTGGAAAAGAGCCCAAGGCAGTCAGGAACAGTATGTAGATAGAACACTAGGATGACACATACATACCTAAGGATTTCTCATCTGCATGTGCCAATGCCAGACTTTCCATGTATGTCACTAAGGCTTCAAACACAAACTGTTCTACCAGGGATTCTTCTTCCCTGAAAAATAAAGACCATTACACCTCCCTTAAGAAAACAATACATGAGAGAAGAACAATAATAAGGAATGCAAAAAAATTTTTTGGTCAGAGTCTCATCCAATAGGTCAGACTAATCTAGAACTCAGTACCTACATAGCACAGGTATTAACTAAAGAAAGAGCGGTTCATTTGTTAGAAAAATTCATTTTCTTGGAAATTAAGAACTAAAAAAAAATCAAATGTAAGCTAAGGCAAGATTTTATTTATATATTTTTTATACACAGTAAACTATAAACATAATGGTAACAGTTAAGTCTGTCTTTTTATGAGAGAAACAGAAACCAAGATCTGAATACATAAACTACAACATCAGACCATGAATTTTAAATCATTCTAACCAGGATCAGACATATTTTTATTAATCAAAATATGAACCATTATAAACATTTTTAATTCCATTTAAATCCATGCTTTGGGATTCAATGAACTCTTAGAATTTTGTATATACTATTGGATGTGGAAGCATCTTCCTTGCAAGAGTTGTTAAGATGTTTGAAGTGCAGTCAGTTTGTTGAGAGGTGCAGTGAATGAGGCAAAAATCTGTACATGAATTGTTCAATTTTAGAAACCAATGACCATAGGACATGTGGAGAAGAGTGGGCTCTTCCTACTGATTAGTGCCAGCTGCAGATGTTGCAGTTTGCAGGGCATCTTATTGCTTTGTTAAACACACTTCTGAGCTAGAACAGTTGTTAGGATTCAGCAGAACTGTACCACAACCCATTTGGGGTGGAATATCAGATATTTACATTACAATTCATAGCAGTGGCCAAGTTACAGTTATAAAGTATCAATGAGATAATTTAATGGTGGGGGGTCATAATATGAGGACCTTTATCAAAGGGTCTCTGCATTAGGAAGGTTGAGAACCACTGCTGTAGTGGATCAAGGTAGCACCAGACTACCCAACAGTGACCATGACCTTTTTAGGTGCAAGTTTGACTCTGGGAGCACAATGTTTCTCACTGAGGTGATCACCATTGGATGCTATACACAATCCACTTTTTCTGTAGGACATAATCTAAGTTCATTGTTGCATAGAAGAAGAGGGACTGGCATTTTTTTTCTTTCTTTTTTAAAATTTCATTCAGCTGAAGAGGCTTTCCAATCTTCTTCAAATGTCAAATGACTACTGAATGGCCACACTGAGTTCTTTGGCAGCTTCTCCAAAGTTGTAAGAGGGTCAGCTTAGTCACTGTCCTCAATTGGTGACTATAAACTTCCTAAGGCTGGGCCACTATGCTCCTCATCTACAAGGCAGTCACTTTCAGAAAACATTTTGAATAATCATTGCACTGCACATTCATTACCACTTCTGGAGTCAACTGTGTTGTGTGTGCCATAAGTTGTCTTCTCTGCTTTACAACCCATTTTTACCTCAAATAAGAAAATTGTTTAGGGTTGGAAGGATGGCTCAGTGGTTAAGAGCACTAGCTGATCTTCCAGAGGTCCTCAGTTCAATTCCCAGCAACCACATGGTGGCTCACAACCATCTATAATGAGATCAAGTGCCCTCTTCTGGCATGCAAGCATACATGCAGACAGAACACTGTATGGGGGGGGAGGGCAGGAGGGAGAGGGGGAGAGAGAGAGAGAGAGAAAGAGAGAGAGAGAGAGAGAGAGAGAGAGAGAGAGAGAGAGAGAGAGAGAGAGAGAGAGAGAGAGGGAGAGATCTTTAAAAAAGATAATATCTGGTGGTACTATACAAATTTGGGCAAGTACAACACATCTGGATCATACAATACAAAAATCACGTAAGGACACCTTTATCAGAATTTTCTGTCCTATTTTTCTGTGAAGCATAGCCCAAAAGCATCTAGCTTCTTTCACTAGTCACGTTCAAAACTGCCTAGACTATGTAATTTAGGTTTATATTTCTTTTTTTTCCTCCAACACAATACTTTTTTATTGATTATTTGGGAATTTCACATAATGAACACCAATAACATTCACTTCCCAGTCCTCTAAGATCACTCTCTCACCCCCCAAAAAACAAGTCCTCCTTATGTTGCTGATATGGTCAACAAAGCATGGTTAAACTCCCAGTGGTCAGCCTCTTAAAGAAAACTGAGTCCTTCCCCACCTCTACCAGAAGCTATCAATTGTGGAAAGCTACATTTCAGCATCATAACAGTTATTAAAAGTTCTCTTGGAGCTGGGTGTTGGTGGTGCACACCTTTAATCCCAGCACTTGGGAGGCAGAGGCAGACGGATTTCTGTGAGTTCCAGGCCAGCCCGGTCTACAGATCAAGTTCCAGGACAGCCTCCAAAACAATACAGAGAAACCCTGTCTCAAAAAAACAAAAACAAAAAAAACAAACAAAAAAATATAGAGTTCTCTTGGATGGCTTCCCAATAAGTTGCTACTTTTTTCTTTTTGGGGTGGGTAGGGTAGAGAGTTGGAGTAGGGGTTGTCACAGGGCCTTCTTTCTATGTCTCCCTTTCTCAACTGTGAGTCTGTAGTCATCAATACCATTGCAGAAGCTTCCTTGCTCTTTACAATAATCAGGAGCATAGACTATGGACTTCCACATGGTTTCTGTCAACAGCACAAAGCATGGACATCAACATGATCTCCAGCGTTAGCATGTACCAAGGACTTCACCATTGTCTCCAGGGGCAGTGCAGACCACACACGTCAACATGACCCTCTACTGCAGCACGAGCCACAGACACCATCATAGCCTTTTGCAACAGTACAGGCTGCAGACACCAAGATGGCCTCTGGGGCAACATGGGTCACAGACACCAACATGGTCCTCGGTGGCAGTCTAGACCATGGACATCAACATGGCATCAGGTGGCAGTTCAGAAAAAACAAACTCTACATGATGGCCTTAGATGGTAACACAGAGCACAGATATCAACATGGCCTTCTTTAAGAGCACAGACCATGATATCCATGGCATGGACTGTGAACCTCAACGTTATTTTCTGTAGCAGTACAAAACATGAACATCATTATGGCCCTCAGCTGCAGAAAGGAACATGGACACCTTCATGGCCCTTGGCAGAAACACAAACACAGGACCTCTGGTGACAACATGTACCACAGACACCAACATGGCCCTCAGTGGCAGAATGGTCCACGGACATCTATATGATTTCAGTGGCCAGCATAGGTCATGGACATTCACATGGCCTTTGGTAATAACATGGCCCCTGTGAGAGCACAGACTACAGACATTCACAGGACAGACCTCAACATGGCCTCATTGTGGCTTCAGGTGGTTGGACAGACCATGGACATCTGCATGGCATTTGGGCCATAGCATGGGCCATGGACATCAATACCCACCTCTTGCCCTACAGTAGTATGGACCACAAACATCAACATAAGCTCCAGTGGCAGCCCAGATCATGGACATCCACATCCTCAAGTTTCAACTTGGCCTGGGGCAGCAAAATGGACTACAGATACCATCATTGCCTCCGAGGGTAGTATGGACCATAGAAGTCCTTTAAGGAGGTTCAATCCGGAAAATGAAGCATTCTTCAACTCAGACATCCTGTAGTTGCTCAGAGTTAGAACGATTATGTGGCTAGGAAGCATGTACTGGTGCTGAGTCTGCATAAGCTCCAGGTTGCTATACACCACCCCGATGGCCCTACTGGGCAAGAACATGTTCTCCTATCTACCAGAGCCTTCTCTCATCTTGTCTCTGCTGTTACATCTCTAGTTCCTACTCTTTCCACCATGCACTAACTGCTGTATTCCTCCATCTTTCCTACCTCTCCATTGACTATTTGTTCACCTTGGTGTTGCTGGAAACCACAGTGTATCACAGAGTATATTTTCTTGCCCAAACATCTTTATATACAAATATTCCTTGAAATGTGTTTTTGGTCTGGTTCAAAGCTACTGGAACACCATAAATATTGGACTGTGACAGACATTCATCTTTCATATCCTACTGCTGACCAGAATAAAGATGATCTTTTGGCTAAGCAGGGTGTCTGGGGGCAGGTTCAGTGTAAGCTCCAGGCTGTCACACACCTCCCCATGCTGCCAGGCATGACCTTTGTGCTTGTAGCCTGTGGACAATGTTGCTGCCCAACACTTTTTGTCTCCCAGCAGGACAAGCAGCAAGGGCTGCAGCCACTTGACAGCTACATACTAGGGGTTGGCCCTATTCAGTAATGACCTGTTTCTGTGGGAGCTCCAGACTGCTACACATGGCCTTGTTATCATTGGTGCCAACAGCCCTGTGGCTCATCAGGTATGAATTTTGCGCTTGCAGCCTGTAGGCTGAGATACTCTGTTCTACCATCTTTCTTTCCAAATTCCTATGCTTGGTATGGTGTTGGTGGTATAGCAGTGAGCACAGCTGCCTTCCAAATTCTTATATCAATTTTCTAAAAACATCTTCCCATAAGATCTGCCTTTTTTTTTTAGTTGTTCAGAGCTCCATGGTGGGTGATGGAGGCGGCAGCCATCTTTATCCCCCCCCCCAGGTTTATATTTCTAAAAAAAATATGAAGGAAAGAGAGAGAGACAGAGAGAGAGAGACAGAGAGAGAGAGACAGAGAGAGAAAGAGACAGAGACAGAGAGAGAGAGAGAGAGAGAGAGAGAGAGAGAGAGAGAGAGAGAGAGAGAGAGAGAGAGAGAGAGAGAGAGAGATGGGGGTAGGTGTAACATAAAATTTTGATGAGGGTAACTTTTTGTAGGGTAAGTTTCTAGACTACAGTTGTTGCTATATACACAGCCTATAAAGCTTTCATCAATGGCAAACCTAAATTCAAGGGTAACCTATGATTCAGTTAACCCTCCCCCGGGTGTTAACATTGTCTCTCTGGAAAACTGCAGGGTAATCTGATAGTTAGAAGGGAAATGTCTTTAGGTGCTCTTTGGGGGCAAGTAATATCACTACTGAGTTCTTAAGATCTCTAAATAAGGCCTGACTCTCTCAGGAGCCTTGCTCTGCCCTTTGAATAGACCAGTCTGCAAAATAAAGTTGTCTTCTTTTCTCCATGAAAGGAATCCAGAGTCTGTGAATCTCTTCCCACATGGTCATTGCTCTTCTCTTCACAAACTCCATGGTTAGTAAGCGTCTGATGCTCTTATTTCTCAAGTAGGAGGAGGTATGTAGCAATGTGGTTATTAATATAACTCTACAAACATATTTTATACATTCTTCTGTATATATGTCGCCACATTTAAAAAGCTAAATAAATAACAAGTTTCAAGCACTACTTAATTCTCGTATAAATACAGTGTGTGGATTCCCATTTATTCATCCATCTTCTATTATTGATCTCTATCCCAGTAGTCATTTTCTATAAAAAGCTATTCTGGCCATCAAAGTCAGAGACCCACTGTAAGATGACATAGTAATCTATTATTAGCAATCACTATTTAATATGATATATTTCAGTCATAACCTTTACATTTATCTATTCGAGTATCTTTCTCAATTCTAGCCCTCATGAAGAGTTGTAATGTTATATTTGCAGTATTTATAACAGTGCCTGGCATGTGATATGCTTTTTTTTTTTCATGGTCCTCTTCTGACAAGAAGAATATGTGCTCTTAACAGCTGAGTCATTCCCACAGCTCCCACTGTGCTGCTGAATGAAGGAATGCATTAATGAATAAATGAGTATTATTCATCTTGCTGTACTGAATGTCTTTCTTGGATTTTTGGAATGGCCTCTATGCCTTAGTCTTTAGTCAAAAACTCTTGGGAAGCAATTCAACTTCACTCTGTACTCCCATAACTCCTGAGAATCATTAGAGATGCTCCCCATTTTTCTACCTCAGCAGACAAAACCAGGCTCAGCACCCTATTACTCTGAACAAAGTCCAAGAGTACCAAAAGTTCTTCATGACTTCATATGGAAGACTCATGAGATGGTAGAAACTCTTCGATCTCAACCACCACCTTTTGATCTGAAAGTATTCTGCTGATTCTCATTCATTCTTTATGGTCTATCTCTAAGAAGTATTCATTAATTTACCACACAAACATTCTATATGCTTCAAAGGATCTTGCATATGTGTCTTGCATTGCATTCTCACAACATATTTGCAAGTATTTCTCTGTAGTTTCTAAGATTCTTCAATGCACATCATGTACCACATATTTATTGACATAAAATACATGCACTACACAAAGAAACCCTGTCTTGAAAAACCAAAACACCAACCTCCATGTAAACATCAGGGCACTTTTCAAAATCAAATAAATGTTTCAAGAGCTGTCTTATACATCTTTCCTTGACACAAAGTTTACATACCTGAATTCCTTGTAGATGTGATTAAAAGCAAGTGCTGCGCCTAGCCTCTTGAAAGCATTAGGATGAAGTGCAAGGCTATAGAGCCGCTTGAAAAGTGACTTGCTGTTTACCGGGCTCTTGTCTTGCTGCTGAGGTGTTGTCTGCTTAATGGACCATTTGAGGAATTCTCGGATGCAGCATCCACAAAAATCTCTTAAAGTACTGTCAACGGGGTCTACAATACCATCCTTAATCAAGATAAAGACAGTTTCATTGTATTTATTCTTATACTCATAGAATGATTAATGGTGGCTCTATGAGAGTATATATGCCAACATTCAGGAGGTTAAGGCAAAACTGTGAGTTTGAGGTTAACCTGGGAAATACAGTAAGTTCCAGACCAGCCTAGGCTAATAGCCTGAACTGTAGACCCTAACTTAAAAAAAAAAAAGAACGAATCATCTTCACTGCCCATAACTAGGTATAAGATCTAGGTGAATCTAGAATAAAGTTGGTAATTATACTGCCTGATTGCCCTGATTGTACTCTATGTTCTACACAGAAAACTGGTAAAACAGGACTCCTCATAAATATACCTCATTTCTTCTTCCCTGATGTTCTTGTCAACTTCCATGTGGAAATATTACACAGATGCAAAATACAATCAGTATGCAAGAACAAAGAATTAAGGATGTTTGGACAAGCTCACTAGGTATTTCACTGGAATTTTTGCTATTGTATCTATTTATTTTAATTTTTAAAATTTAATTGAATTTTCATTTTTTTTTCTTGCTTTGGTTTTTTGAGACAGTAGCCTGACTGTCCTGGAATTCACTTTGTAGACCAGGCTGGCCTTGAACTTGAAGATCCACCTGCCTCTGCCTCCCAAAAGCTGCGTGCGATTAAAGGCATGTGCCACCACCACCCAGCTAACTATTTTAATTTTTTAAAGCAGGGTCCGTGTAGCCTAGGCTTATATTGAATTGGTATTCACTGGTTGACATTAAACTCTTATCCTCTTGCCTCTACTTCCTACGTGTTACAAATGTGTGCCAGGGGATTCTAATGTGAACATACAACTTCATCTCCCCAAAATGGATGAAATAACTGAAAATCAACATCAAATAATACTTAAAGGAACTATTCCTACAAGTTCAAAATTAAACATGTATCAAAAACCACAACAGCTTATCTCACTGCACCAGTGACCAGACTCTAATGTCTACCTCTTCTATCTCAGGAAGAATATGATATAAAAGATAAACTGTGGGGCCGGGTGGTGGTGGCCCAGGCCTTTAATCCCAGCACTCGGGAGGCAGAGGCAGGCGGATCTCTGTGAGTTCAAAGCCAGGCTGGACCGACAGCCTCCAAAACAATACAGAGAAACCCTATCTTGTAAAAACCAAAAAAAAAAAGAGATAAAGATAAACTGTGGACTCTACACCTTTAGCTGATGAATTTGAATGTGAGAGAAAATTAGATAAGTGAAAAATTCCCTTTACTCTTGAATAAATACTGTGCCATCGAATAAAAGGAAAACAAACTACAGTTATTGATAAAGAACATTTTTACTGCTCATACCCTTTACACCACAGTCTTTCTCTCTTATGCCCTTAATATACATAATTTTTTAACTTATACCCACTCAGAAAGAAGAACAAAAATGCATGTTAACTGAAACTTAGATATTAAGACTATAACTTATGAAAATAAATATGATACTGTGTCCAAAAAAGATAACAGTCTAGAGACATGCCATACTTTGGTATGTTAATAAGGAACTTTTCCTAAAGATCTAAATGTACACTAAATTGGAATGAAAAGTTAAGAACCAAATACTACTTACCAGTATGGTTTCTAGTAAAGCAACAGTATCTTGACTTTCAAATTTCTTATTGTTAGTAAACCAGTGAATCAGCTGCAAAACAAGCGGTTCATAGAGCTGCCTTGTCACCTGAAGAGACAATTTTTAATGTAATTTATATCCTTCATATGAGAGTAAATGTACACTGAAAATTAAACATTTAAATGGCACTTCCAATAAGGCAAGATGAAATTAGTTTCTTTTTCTAGTTCAGTTCTATGATGAACAGGATCTAAGAGTCCAAGAAAAGAAAATATTCACAGTAAAGCTCATTGTTCATCTAATTAGATGAAACAAACAGCTTAATAAATAAGTAGATAGGCAGATAAATAAATACATAAATAAAATTCACCAAACTACAAACTTAAGATTATTGGAATGATGAGGATGCAATCCAGGATTTGAAAGCTGAATTCAACCAGGAGATAGAAACATTGAAGAACTCAAGCTGAAATGCAGGTGAAAAACCTAACTAGAAAACTCAAAGAACAACTTAAAAAGAGAATGAATCAAGCAGAAGATAAAATATCAGGTCTCTAAGAGAAAATAGAGAAGCTAGACCTAACAAGCAAAGATAGAGCAAAAACTAAAAAGAAAAAAGAAACACATACACACAATGTGAGATACCATGAAAAGACCAAATCTTTAATTTTAGGAATAACTGAAGAAGAAACCTAGGTCAATGGCGTAGATCAGATCTTCAAAAAAAATGATAAGAGAAAAACAGAAGAATCATACGCCCATAAAGACACAAGCACAAAGTCATCAAATAGATACAGAGGAATAGCACAGTAAGGACCAAATAGACAAGACTAGAAAAGAAACTCCTCATGGTATACCATAGTTAAAACACTAAGCATTTAGAACAAAAAAGTTTTTTAAATGGGAGAGGGTCTAGACCCTGCCCTGGATGAAATGACAGACTATGGACACTCCCATGGAGGGCCTCACCCTCCCTGGGGAAATGAGGGGATATTAGAGAGGTTGGTGGGAGGGCACGGGAGGAGGGGAGGGAAATGGAGAGGGACCTGGAATTGACATGTGAAGCAACCTTGTTTCTAATTTAAATTTAAAAATAAAAAAAATTTTTAAAAAGTTTTTTAAAGCTACCAAGAGGAAAAACCATGAGACCAACAGCTGATTTCTCAATGGAACACTGTGGAGAAGGACACACCAATTTCTACATGACCCTGACTGCCACCAAAGCTAGTGCACCCTGAAAAACTACTGCCACAATTGAAGGGAGAGAAAAAAACAGTTCCATGATATACTCTTAAAACTCTATATCCAGTAGATCAAGCCAAACAAAATACAGGAAGCAGTGCTTTGAATTGAAAGGAAAAATATGAACAACTAAGAGCTTGTAGAAAGGAAGCAAACAAACCCGTAATGACTAAACACAAAGAAGCACTGAGAACACATCATCATCAACAATATACAACACAGTGATTATAATCAACACACACCTTTCAATAATAACTTTAAGTATCAACGACCTCAATTCTCCAATCAAATGACACAGGCTGAATGGATAAAGAAACAAAATCCACACTGTAGCCAGGAAAGCGGGTAGGCTAACTACAGATTCACCTCTCCAAATCCAATCCCCAATCCCACTCTCAGCTTTTCAGCAGAACACCTGCTGCGGCCTTCCTTGCCCACCCCATCCGAGTAGATCATACAAATCTTCCCTTCCCAACTTCCCTTCCCCAACTCATTGCTGTATGCTAGCCCCCAACTTTAGTGGCACTCCCTGGGAACCTACAGGTCACTCTGGCCAGGGAAGCAGGTAGGCTAACTGCAGATCCTCACCTCTCCCTCCGTTCCTCCAAATCCAGTCTCCCAGTCTCATCCCCAGCTCTGTAACAGACTTTCTGCTGTGGCCTTCCCTCATTCTCTGGTTCCATTCCCAGATCATGGTGGACCACTCAGTGCCTCCATCCCTCACCCCACTCTTGAGTTCATTCCTCAGTATTAATTCCCAATCCCCAGACACACTAACTAGGACCACAGAAGAATTTCCTACCAGGCAACACAAAGTCATGACACTCTTGTAAGACCCAGAGAGAGCAACAGAACAAAGAACAAAAACACCCACCCAACAATGACAAGAATAGATTTCAGCATCTAGAATTATAATCTTCTCGATCCCAGATGCCTAGATGCCAGTTATGCATCAATAACAGGCATGACAATATATCTCCACTTGAGCCCAGCAACCCTATCATAGCAGGCCTTGACTATTACAACAAAGCTGAAGAACAAGAAAAAGACCTTAAAACAACCTTACTCCTTGAAAAGTAAATTGATGGGGAATGTCCTTCTGTATATATGTTTCTCTTATTGATTAATGAATAAAACACTGATTGGCTGATTGGCCAGGCAGGAAGTGACATAGCTGGGCAGAATCAGAGTACAAGCAGGGACAAACAGGAAACATCTCCCTCTCCTCTTGTCCCCTCCCCCCTCTTCCCCCCCCTCTCCTCTCCTCTCCTCTCCTCTCCTCTCCTCTCCTCTCCTCTCTGTGGACAGGCTGAGCAGTCAACATGATATAGGATGCCAGAGGAGTAACAGGCCTAGACCATTCTCCAGTAAGATAAGGCCACGAGGAAATACATAGATTAATAGTTATGGGTTAAGAAGAAGCCCATGTCACCAGCCAACAGCTTTAAAACTAATATAGCCTCTGTGTGTGTTTCTTTGGGCAGAGAAGGGCATCGGGACCTAGCTGAACCAGAAAACTCACATTACAGTAAATGAATACATCTCTTAAAAGAAATATATAAAAACACAAACAGCAGAAGGAAATGAATAAAACCATTCAAGAGCTGACAGTGGAAACAGAATCAATTAAAGAAAACCCAAATTGATGAAAATCTGGAAATGAAATGTATAGAAATGTGAACATATAAAGGCAGACCTCTAGAATTATACTTGACTTCTCAATGGAGATTCTAAAAGCCTCCTAAGAAAGGTTTGGACAGACGTGCTGCAAACTCTAAGAAACCACAGATGCTAGCACAGGATACTATATCCACCAAAACTTTCAATCATCAGAGATGGAGAAAATAAGACATTCCATTAAAAAAAACCAAATTTAAGAAGTATCTATTTATAAATCCAGTTCTACAAAAAGTGGTAGAAGGAAAACTCAAATCAAAAGAGGTTAATTACACTCAAGAAATCACAGGGAATAAATAATCCCAGGCCAGCAAAATCAAAAGGGGAATCTCCACCCCCCCCCCCACACACACACACACACACCATCAAACAAACAAAATAACAGGAATCAACAGTAATTAGCTATTGATATCTCTCAATACTATTAAAAAGACACAAATAGAATGAATAGGAAAACAGGAACAGAAAAAAAATATTACAAGTAAATGGACCTAAGAAGAAAGTTAGTGTAGCCATTTTAATAACTGATAAAATAGACTTTGAACCAAATCTAATCAGAAGAGCAGAAAAGACATATTCATCAAAAGAAAAATTCACCAAGAGGACATTGAGTCAGTTCTTCAGGAAGCTGGGAATAGATCTACCACAAGATCCAGCTATACCATTCTTAGACATATACCCAAAGGTCTACATCTTACTACAGAAATATTTGCATACCCATTTTACCTGCCACTCTAGTCTGACACCCAGAATTATAGTCAGAAATTGGAAGCAACCTAGATGTTCATCAACAGATGAATAGATATAGGAAATGTGAACAGTGCCAGGCAGTAATGGTGTATGCCTTTAATCCCAGCACTTGGGAGGCAGAGGGAGGTGAAGCTCGTAGTTTGAGTTCAGTCTGGTTTCCAGAGTGTGTTCTAGGACAACCAGGGCTACATAGAGATACCCTGTTTTGAAAAATCAAAAAATAAAATAAATGAATAAATGTATATTAATTAAAAGAGAAAGGAAGGAAGGAAGGAAGGAAGGAAGGAAGGAAGGAAGGAAGGAAGGAAGGAAGGAAATGTGGTACATTTACATTATGGAATACTACTAAGCTGTTTTTAAAAAAAAAGAAGAAAAGAAATCATGAAATTCACAAGTAAATGGATGAAGCTAGAAAAAAGTCATCCCAAGTGAGGTGACCCAGACTGAAAAGGACAAATATGGTATCTATTCTCTTAACATGGATGTTCGCTTGAGATCACATTCTTTTTGTAGTTTTGCAATTGCTTAGATCTTAACCGTGCACTTACTTGGTCCACGTCACATGCAAGCTGAAGCAGCACAGGAAAGGTGTGCTTATAGAGCTGGTACATGGGAGGACAGCCCTGACCTTCAGGCATCTGAGTGGCTCTTCCCAACATGAACACAACCATGCTGTGTAACAGTTCACAAGCTGCCACCTAAGAGGTCCGAGTTTAACAAAGCTTCGTTACCATATTTCCAAGGGGTACTTTGAAGGTTTTTCTTTATTTTAGTCAATTAATAGGAAAAACTTTTATTGTGGGTAAATACTACATACTCAAAGTAAAAAAATGGAAATAGTAGCTTTTATATAAAATGAATGCTTCTATTCTCTCTTTATCCAAGAGTTAAGAATTGAAATTTAAAAAGTCAGACTCTGAAAGTGATACATTCATAAGAAATATATTTCACACAGTTTAGAACGATACATCCTGGCTTCATTTGTAAATAATACTTTAATAAGCACATTTTAGAAGCACATTAAAAGCTTACATTAGTGGTAACATTTGGGATTATCTGTTTCCAATCTCCCAGGCTATGGAGATAATCAAACTCCTACCAAGTTTCATCTTTCAACATACTTTGCATTACATTTTCTGTTACAAAGAACTGGCATATGAATGCTTTGCCAGGTTATTATTGTGGTAATTTATACTTCATTTTCATTCATCAATGACATCTACTTCTAAAAAATTTCAAAAGTAATGGTAATAGAATAGCTAAAATATAGTATCTGTTTCCTAACCAACACACACTAACTTTTTAAAGCTATACACTATAAAAAAATGAATGACATGGAAAACAAATACTTTAGTTTGTCGGTCACTAGCAGAAAGAGCCAATTCAGTGACACGAGGCAGGAAGACATCCAGATAGATGACAGGCTTCATCTCCCTGAAAGGTACCGCAAAGCTGAGTCTCTTCTCCCTGTCCCAGGCCACATACTTCTTCATCCTTTCTCCTGATGCAGCTGATGAGAAAATGTCAGAAGAGTGCTTTTCATTCAAGATCTTTCCTCTTACACCTCATTAATTAAATTAGGGTATTTTTAAAGCCTTTTGTCTTTCATTTTTTCTGCTTCAGATATGAAAGATTATTTAAACCACTTATAGCTCTTTTTTTTTAAATTTTATTTTCCAGTTTAAATTTAGATAAGAAACAAGGTTGCTTCACAAGTCAGTTCCAGGTCCCTCTCCCATTCCCTCCCTTCCTCCCGAGCCCTCCCCTCCCCCCCCCCCCGTTATCCCCTCATTTCCCCAGGGAGGGTGAGGCCCTCCATGGGGGTGTGCATAGTCTGTCATTTCATATAGGGCAGGGCCTAGACCCTTCCCCAAGAGTTCGGGTGAGAGTGCACCTCACATTGTTCTATGGGAGTCCAAAGTCCGTGTGTATACTTGGGATGGGTACTGATCTGCTGCCCAAGGCTCAATAGATTCCCTAGGCCTCCTCACTGACACCCAGATTCAGGGGGTCTTGATCAGTCCCATGCTGGCTTCCCAGGCTGATGCCTGGGATTCAAGAGTTAACCTTTGTCTGGTCAGCTGTTTCTGGGGGTTAAACCAGCCCAGTCTTAATCCCTTTGATCATCAGTCCTCCCTCTCTGTTACTGGCTTTCTTGAGTTCAGCTCAGTACTTAACCAAGGGAGTCTGCCTCTTCTTCGATCAGCCACTAAATAAAGTTTCTGTTTCCCAGACTCTCTGGCCATAGGATTGAAGGCTGGCACTCCCCAGATCTATGTCTAAAATCCATATATGACACTTATGGCTCTTATTTCTAAATTTAACTTAACTAAACTGATATTCAATAGGAGTATCCAAACTCAATCAGAGATACTTAAAACATATGACAGAAAATAAGTACAATGAAAAGAAAGTCTCATCTTTGCCAGGTGTGGTGGCATACATCTTCAATTCTAGCACTTGGAAGGCCAGCCAAGGCTACCTAGGACCTTTTTCTCAAAAAACAAAATAAAACAAAACCAAATCTCTTTTAAAGGAAACAGGGAGATAGTTCAGTGGATAAAATGTTATCCATGCAAGTATGAGAACCAGAGTTCAGATTGCAAGCCTACATGTAAATATTAGGTGAACACGGCAGCCTACCTATAACCCCAGTATTGAGATAGACACCTGGAGCAAGCAGGCTACTTACACTAGATGTACAGGGAGCCCTTCATTCAACTGAGATCCCATCTCAAAGATTAAGTGGAGAGTGATCAAGGAAGACCCCTGACATCAGCCCCAGGCCTTCACACACACATGCACCACTAAAGTTTCCTCTTGAAAATACTTTCCAAGTATAGGTTCTAATTTCCTAAATAGCTAAATGTCTCTAGTTAATATTAAACATGAAAAGTAAAATCAGCTGAGTTTTTCTAGTATAAAAACACTCTAAAAATATTCACATATTAAAATGTTAAGTTTAGCACTGGAGAGAGGGTTCAGTGGTTAAGAGCAGGTGTTGCTTTTGTAGAGGACCTGTGTTCAGTTCTCAGTACCTACATGATGCCTCATTACCATCTGTAACTCCAGTTCCAGGGGATGAGATGCCCTCTTCTGACCCCTATGGACACTAGGCATGAATGTGATATATATCCTCCATTCAAGCGAAACATGCAAAATAAATAATTTTTTTCTAAAGAACCAGTCGGGTCTAGAGAGAGTTCCAGGACAAACTCCAAAGCTACACAGAGAAACCCTATCTCGAAAAACAAAACAAACAAAAAAAGTAAAGAGAGTATTGAATTTAGCCTTCTTCCATGGTGGCTACTTTTGGTGGGGGCTGTCTTACACAAAGGCCAGAAAGTAGTGTCTGCAAAGACTAAAAAGCTTTTGAAAGCCCAGCATGGTTGTACACTTCAATCCCAGTATTCAGGAGGCAGAAGCAGGCAGCTCTTTGTGAGTTTGAAGCCTGATTAGTCTGTATAGCATGGTCCAGGCCAGTTAGTCAGGGCTTCATTGTTCATTCTACTCAAAGAGAAGAAGAGAAAGAGAAGACGTATGTAAAATAGAAAGCAAATGCTGCACTGTGGATATGATTTCAGATTCTGAATATGACCACACAGGACTATTTGAAATCAATTAGTTTTGTGGCAGCCCAAACTGGTGTTCATTACTACAGTGGCAATAATAATGAGTTGGGCACAGTATGTGACAATGCTTTAAATACTGGCTATCTCTGTCCAAGTGATTGTGAAATCATCAGAAGCATTCCAGGAGAGGTTGGTGACGAGTAAACAGGCATATATTCAACTCCAAGTACAAACATAGAATCTACATGTTATTTTAGGGAACACTTACTTGTTAGAAGATTTTTGTTTATTTGTCCTCCTAGAGATCCCAGAATTTGTACTACTCTAATTCTTACTTCTTCTAAAGATAGTGCTTCATCCTGGAAATATATACATAAATATGTATAAAATATGTATATGTACATTTATGTGATAGATGACTTTAAAAACTAAAATGAAGAGGAAAAAATACCTGTTGTAGAATATTATTTTAAGGTGTGTTACTTTTATTTATGGTGTGGAACATTTGTTTAATGATGTAAAGATGTGTTGCTTTTGTTTATGCTGCATTTAACTCTGTGATGCTCTGTTTGTCTGCCTAAAACACCTGATGGTCTAATAAAGAGCTAATGTGGCCAATATCTAGGCAGGAGAAAAGATAGGCGGGGCTGGAAGGTAGAGAGAATAAACAGGAGGAGAAATCTGAGAGTGGAGGACATTGTCAGGGGCCAGCCACCAAAGCATCCAGTAAGGCACTGAGTAAGAGTAAAAGTAAGATATACAGAAACATGAAAAGGAAAAAGTCCAGAGGCAAAAGCTAGTCCGGACAATTTAAGTTTAGAAAAGCTGGCAAGAAACAAGCCAAGCTAAGGCTGGGCACAAGGGAGAATAAGACTCCGTGTGTGATTTATTTGGTTGCTAGGTGGTGGGCTCCCAACAGAGCAAAAGAGCCAAAAGAGTAAAGAGTAAGAGTAGAAAAGCAAAAATGACCAACTACAAATATCTATTGTTACTGTCTCCTAATAGTTAATTAAATACTACCCGATATCACTATTGCTGTTACTGAGAATTCATAAAAAACGTTGTATCTCTTCCAGTTATGCAGGTAGAGGTCCAGCACAAGGCCAGCAGCTCCAATATTAGTGGAATAGCCTTACACTTTTAAACAGTACCAAGGATTCCCAAAGAGCATTTGTTTACATGGGTCACACTTCTAAATACTGTATTAGAAATTCAATCTTTAAAACAGGTACCTTAAAAAAAAAAGTACCCAATGTTATGTTAAAAACAACATACTTAATGAAAATTAGTTTTTTAAAACAAAAACCCTCCAACAAGTGGACCTGCTCCATGCTAGTACAAAGGGCTTTTGTTTCATCCAGAGGTATCACAGAGCTCACAGGATATAGGTATAAGAAAAAGTAGCATTTTGTAATCATTTTAGATAACTGATGAACCTTCATATCATACAATGTAGAGTGTGAAGCCTAATCAATGAACTTTTAGATAATCTCCATTATGCTAAATTCATTTACCTTGCACTTTGAATGGATTTGTTTTTAAAACCATGCATTGCTCATGTGAAAATACTGGTTCACTATAGAAGGCAGATTTCCCAAATATTGACACATTTCATTGCAGATGCCTAAAATTACATTTGTTGGTATCATCACAAATTTCATGAGAAAAAATATATAAGTATAGCTATCAAGCTGATTATAATAGTTGTGTTAGAGATTATTTCCTTGAAGTGACAGGCTTTCTTCATTCATTGAGGGAAAAGGTTGGCCAAACACCCAAGTCTGAATTACCTAGGAAGAAGGAACCTCATTTGAGAAGCTGGCTGTATGGCAGTGGTCTATGGACTATCTGTGGGGCATTTTCTTGACTAAATGTTGAATGTAGGAAGACCCAGTCCACTGTAGGTGGTGTTACCCCTGGGGAGGTGGTCTTGGGTTGTATGAGAAACTAAACAGCAATGTGGATAGGTATTTCAGCTGAGTTCTCCAACTGTCTGAATGCTGCTTGGTTTCTCAAGAGCCTGATTTCTATAATGTCCCAAGTAGGTTGGGCCTGTGTTTTATCACACCAACAGAAAGCAACCTAGGACACAATGATCATAAAGAAGGTGAGAATTTTAATACACAATTCAAAGTATCCCAAGAGTTGTTCTGCCAGGCAGACTTTTTACGGCTACAGGCCTGTATAGGTTTGCATCCTGTCTCATCACAAAGAATGCTAAATAAAATGCTTAAAGAAAAAAAACAACTGTTACCCACTATCATAAAAAGACCAATCAAATAAAAATAATGTGGTGGTTTACATAAGAATGGCCCCGAAGAGCTCATATATCCGAATGCTTAGTCATCAGGGCGTAACCCTATTTGAGAAGGATTAGGAGATGTGGCCTGGTTGGAATAGGTGTGGCCTTGAAGGAAGTGTATCACTGGGGGTGGGCTTTGGAGTTTCAAAAAGTCCAAGCCAGGCCCAGTGTCTCTATCTTCCTGCTGCCTGCTGATCTAGATGTAGAACTCTCAGCTACTTCTTTAATATCATGTCTGCCTATGTACTGCCACTTTCACTACCATGATGAAAATGGACTCACTTCTGAAACTGTAAGCCAGCCCCAATTAAATGCTTTCTTTTATAAGAGTTGCTGTGTTCATGGTGTCTCTTGACAGCAACAGAACAGTAACTAGGACAGAAGTTGGTACTAGGGAGCAAGCAGAGTATTGCAATGACTTAAGATAAAGGAACAACAAAGGATTTCTTACTGGTGAAGTATTTGTTGTCCTTTTCAGATGCTTCAATACATTTCTGTTAAATCCCTTCTGGGCAGCCCGAGAAAGTGCTGATACTTCCCAGTGGCTCTTGGTTTCATCTATGGGCAGTAAACAAAAAAAAAAAAAAAAAAAAAAAAAAAACAATTTTAAGCAACATTCACACTACATTGTGAGACAGAAACATTAAAGTCCTGGCTATTTAAAACACAATTTCAAAACTTAAAATTCTATAACAAAAAAGATTCAGATTAGCTGTCTTCTGAATATTGCTACCTGTCAGAAGAAGCTCCACTAGACTTGGGCAAACCTGTACTTAGAAGACCCTGAACCATTTTGCAGGCAGGAGAGACACAGACAGATCTGTGACAATCCAAGCCTCATAATCAAATCCTTGAAAACGTAAGAATCCCATGTTCCTACCACGAAGGGAAAGGAAAGTTATCTGATCTTCATGCCCTTTATTGCAAAAGAGCTCTAGGTTCAGGCCAGGATCCCTCTTACCTATTCCCCAACCCACAGGACCAACACACATCACATCCACCCTTCCCACTCATTCCTATCTAGTCCCAAACGCCAGGCTTGGAACAGGAAGCACATCCCCTCTGTGCTTATTATTATTATTCCTCTAATAATCCTCTCCTACTTCTAACTTCTCCACACTTCTTCTATTCTAAAAACTCTTCCTACAGGAGCCTTGAAGTGATAAGGAAATCACAAGAGTTGCTTCTCATTGGTCAAGGGCATTCTTAAATTGAGATAAGGACCTGAGCGAGCCTCTTACCATGGCAACACAAAGATCCAAGGCCATCGGAGCAAAATATCGACCAGACAGGTGGGTGGCACAGTACCCAATGACAACTTTGAAACACATATCTATTGTTAGACTGGCAAGTAAAGAACTGGCAGGGCTTTTCTTAGTAACCTTGGTTGGAATCTGCAGCTCTGATCTTATAAGGTTTCAAATTTATGATCTATTCACAAGAAGTCTCTAGTCCAGTTTGAACTTTCTCTGAGGTGAAAGTGAACTAATTGTATGCAGTTAGAGAAGAGAACAAGGTAGGCTGAGCAAGAGAACAAGGTAGGCTGTTAAGTGTCCACAGTCCTTATGGAACAAATAGATCCAGTTATGAAGCATGCCCCAGTATATTATATATATCAAAATTATACAACTAAATGAAAAGTCATTTTATAGACCACCCACAGATATATGTGCCCAGCAGATTAAATATTTTCATGAGATAAACATACAAGTAGTAGGAAACACCCAAAGCTATTCTTAGGGAAGAAAAGTGGCTCACGAGAGAAGTTACAGACAGGGGCAACTGGTTTCCACTGCCAGTGACCCCACAGCATTGCCAAGCGGGGCTCCCGCATCAGGAATCATGTGTCTGGTGGGTCCACCTGTTAAACACTAGTTAACACCTGCTGTATCTCTCATGACCCCTGACAAGCACATGCTCAAAGGACTTTAACATTCTATACTATGAATATATGCTCAACAATGTTCATTACTTCTCTATTCATAGTCACTAGAAACTGAAACAACCTAAATGTCCTACAACCAACAAATGCATAATAAAAATGTGATACTTAAATGAAATATTATTCAGCTCTAAAGAAAAACAAAATTGAAAATTTTGCCAAGAACTAGAGAAGATCACATTAAGTGAGATAACCAGACTCAGAAAGGCAAATGTCACATTCTCTGTTATTGGAGGCTCCTAACTCCAAACCTTCAGGTGTGGGTACACAGCCTGTAGTAACTACAGAAACCAGGAGAGTCACTGCCAGAATAGGGATGTTGGGGAACAATAGAGAGGAAAATAGCAAAGTACAAGAGATAGGAGAGGGGAAACAGGAATGAGGCAGGACTCTTCAGGGAAAGGGGACGGAAGTAAATATGAGAGAATAAGGCAGGTAGGTAAAATAAGGATGTCTGGAAAAGCTACAAAGAATTATATTATTAACTACCTTTTAAAAAAACTATAATACACATAACTCTGAGTACCTTATACATGTATAGTTTCATTTTATATTTATTTGTTTGTTTGTTTATTTATTTATTGCTTTTCGAGACAGGGTTTCTCTGTATAGCTTTGGAGCCTGTTCTGGAACTCATTCTGTAGACTAGGCTGGCCTCGAACTCACAGAGATCTGCCTGCTTCTTCCTCACCAGTGCTGGGATTAAAGGCGTGTGTCACCACTGCCCGGAACATATATAATTTTAATGAACTTTTCTCATCTGAACTGATCATGTTCCCTCTAAGAGCCAAAGACCACCTACCAAAACCCACAATACCAGATCCATCCAAGAAGCCCTCTTTTGAACTGTTTGTCAAGTCTGTCCAAGACACTCCAAAAACATACAGTCTGTTGTTGTTCCCCTTGGTTACTCTCACACAGAGGTAGACGGTAAGTCCCTATTGCTAAACACACCATGTACTTCAGAAACAGGGTCCAGAGACTCCTGAGTTGGAATTGACCTTAACAGTCTCTCTCTGAGGACTAGCTTTCATAGTACCAGAAGGCACCATCCAGGTTTTCAAAGGAAGAAAGCAATCAACAGTCTTCCCCAGCTATGACAATCATGAACCACATCAATAATCAGAAGGGCATGATAACCCTTTGTATGCATACCTTGGAGGTAACCAATAGTTCTTCTAATTGGACTTAAGACCCTCCTTCTCAACATGAGGGTTACCATGTCTGGTATTATACAACTAGTTAAATAATCAGTGTCAGTGCAGTCAATGTTACTAAAGGAGAATCCTATAACCACTAATTTACTAATCCACCATAATCCTTAATATCAATCTATAAACATTTGTCCTTATACCCACAAGTAAATGTAGTCTTCAACCTTCATCAAAGAAATTTGTCTTTCCAACAGACAGACTACTACAGAAAACCATAACCAGTTATAATACAGAATTTGGGGGCCCAGTCTCAGTAGATACATCTACAAAGTACTACCACATATAGGGGTCAAGGAATACTGTGGAAAAGAGGGCAGGAAGATTGTAATAGCCAGAGGATCGAGGAGTTTGCTATGATATCATGTGTCCTAGCAATATCAGAATCTACACCCATAAGGACTTCACCAACATGACTGGCCTAATATTAGCTGAATAAAGATTACACTAATGAATACACCAAACTGAACAGAGAAAAGCACACGTGACCTCAACCCTATAAAAAGAACTACATGCAACTAGGAAAGCTGGGAGAAGTGATCTTCCTAGGGAATAGCACACTAATTAGTTGTCCAGTGCCAAGTGGTCAGCCACGATAACATACACACAAGTAACATTATATTTAATATACAAGTATACATACATGCATACATATACATACAATAACAGTGAAAAAACAGGCCATGCATTTGAAGGAGAGCAGGGAGGGGCATATTAGAGGATTTGGAGGGAGGAAAGGAAAGGAAGAAATCCTGTAATTAAATTATAATCTCAAAAAAAAGCTTCAGTTTCTTTCCAGTTTATAAAATATTAGTAAATTAATCACCCAAGAAATAACAAAAGAAAAACCAATCAAACACCTTTTGAAAATTCTACATTAAAACTTTACAAGTTGGAAAAATATTAATAATCCAACTTTATTATCAGACTACAGTTTTATTTATGATACTCATCCCAATTTCTGTAAAACTTACCTGACAAGATTGAAGTTTTCAGGTATCCATCAAGACAGGGAAGAATGTCTTTGTAGTAAGGCTGCATTATAGACTTATCAATGTGAACTGACCATTCTTCCAGGGCACGAAGACCTATTTCTGCAAGAGGCATATGGCTCAGGCCCAGCTTGAAAGCCATCTATAGGTATGCCAATACAAACAAGGAAAAATTAAAACAGGAATTTAAGACTTACAAAAACCGAAACCAATGTTTTGTAAAGATTTATTTATTATGTATACAGTGTTCTGTCTGCATTTTGCCTGTATACCAGAAGATGACTCAAATCTCATCATAGATGGTTATGAACCATCATGTGGCTGCTAGGAATTGAACTCAGGACTTATGGAAGAACAGTCAATGCTCTTAACCTCTAAGCCATCTCTCCAGCTCTATTTTACAGTATCTAATTGATATGTTTCTATTGTTAGGCCCTAAAAACTGCTAAAGGTTGTAAGTTTGCATAGTTCAAAACACCAGAGGAAAACAAGGGACAGTGGTCCATGGCTGGGGATTTGCTACAGGCTTTCATTACATGCAAGAACTAATCCTCAGGTCAGTTTGTAAAGGAGGAGCGGAGCTATCTCTGATATTCAAAGCATACCAGCTAAGAAGTGTTCAAACAGAGGCTGCTGGATGGGCCCCTGCTTTAATCTTGGTATTTCTAAGTTTTCTAGTAAATAAAATGGTGATAAAGGTAAGGTTATACTCAACAAAATACACCTACCTGCAGTGCAGGAACATAGGCTCTAACATCAAGTTCAATGATGTCATGTGGCAAAGACAGAACAAAGGTTAAACATGAGGCCAAAAGCTCATCTTGGTATTGCTTCATCTTAACTGACACCTTAAGAAAGAACAAACAAACAAGTTGTGAATCTGAATATAGCTTATAATTAGGAAATTAAAATTCACCCTCTTCTAAAATGTGAAAAACAAGCATGCAGCATTTGTCATGACTACAAAACAAAATGCTAATTCTCAGAAAAAGTTCATTTAAGTACTTATTCTCCTTTATATAAAAAGCTAAGGAAAGGGGTGGGGTATGATCAATGTATATTATAGACAGATACAAAATGGTTGCAGTGAAACCCATTATTATCCAGAATTATTTATTAATATAAGACAATAACAATTATATTTGAGTTGTCATCACTGAGCTGAATTATTTTCCAAAAATTCAAGAACCCCCTCCCCCTTTTATTAGCTTTTTTATTTATGTGTTGCATTGGTTTTTGCCTGCATGTGCATCTGTGTGAGGGTGTTGGGCACTCTGGAGTTACAATTATGAGCTACCATGTGGATGCTGGGAATTAAACCAAGGTCCTCTGGAATAACAACCAATGCTCTTATCAGTTGAGCCATCTCTCTAGCCCCCTTAAGAAACTTCTGAAGCAGTGACTCCTTGTGTAAGTTTTTTAAAAGCCTTACTACCAAAAAAAAAAAAAGAAAACCACACAAACCTGCCATCCCAACACTTGCCTAGCTGAGGAGAGAGGAGCACAAGTTCAAGGACAGCCTTGGCTATATTTCAAGACCCTGTCACAAAAAGTAACCAGGGCCAGAAGGATTCCTCACTAAGTAAAAGTATTTGTCAGCAAGTCTGACAATGCAAGTTTGATGACCAGTACACATAGGGTGCAAGAAAATGGGCTTCTGCAGGTTGTTCTCTGACCTCCACACACGTCACACACAGATAATAAGTGAACATAAAAAGCAAAACCAAACCAACAACAAAAGAATACCCAAAACCAATCAAGCATATAAACAAAATCTCACTCCCAATTTGAATTTAAGAAACTAATTTTCAAGGCCAGTGAGATGGGTCAGTAGGTAAAGGTGCTTGCTATCCAGTCTGATGACCTGAGTTGTAATCCACAGGGTGAAAGGAGAGAACCAACTCCTGCAATTTATCATCTAACATCCATAAGTGCACCATGACACGCGAGCACCCATAAACACACATTAATGATGCCTATCAAAAAAGGAAAAAAAAAAGGTGTCCTGATGGCACTCACCTTTGATCCTAGCACTCAAGAGGCAGACACAAACAGATATCTATGAATTCTAGGATAGCCTGGGCCTACATAGTAAGTTCCAGGCCAGCTAAGGCTGCCCAAAGAGACCCTGTCTCAAACAAACAAGCAACAAACTAACTCAAGCGAAAAAAGTTATAAATAACTATGTCACTGGTGACTATTAGGATTTTTTTCACTATACATTGATTTAAGAATATCCTGAAATACATTGAGACAGACTACTTAAATGTTATCTCTTTGCAGACACCCACAGCTAAACATTGAACCAAACTCCCGGAATCCAGTTGCATAGAGGGAGGAGTGATGAGCAAAAGAGTCAAGAACAGGCTGGAAAAACCCACAGAAACAGCTGACCTGAACAAGGGGGAAATTATGGGCCCCAGACTGATAGCTGGGAAACCAGCATTGGACTGATACAGACCCCAAGAACATGGGTGTTAGTTAGGAGGTCTGGGCAATCTATGAGGCCTCTGGTAGCGGATCAGTATTTATCCCTAGTATACGAATGGACTTTGGAAGCCCATTCCACATAGAGGGATACTCTCTAGCCTAGACACACAGGGGAAGACCTAGGCCCTGGTCCAAATGATATGACAGACTTTGAAGATCTCCCATTGAAGGTCTCACCCTCCCTGGGGAGCAGAAAGAGGATGGGATAGGGGATCAGTGTGGGGCAGGGGAGGAGGGGAGGAAGAGGGAACTGGGATATTGACATGTAAAACAAGCTTGTTTCTAATTTAAATTTAAATATATATATATATATATATATATATTACCTCTTTGCCAAATTTTGCAAATAAAGCAAAGCAAGAATACTTTTCTGGATCTTCAGGAGAATGCTTCGGACTCTTTGGGCTAACTCCCTGTCAAATAAAGTAGCAAATTAGTATGCCAAGCAAGAACCAACCACTTCTACCCCTTATCCTACCAGTTTTCTGTCTTTGCCCAGAGGATGAATCCACTTCATCCCACAGTCTCGTTTGGAGGAGAGGGAGACTCAGTTCCTCTCCAAAGATACCCAGTAGAAACAGAGCTTGGGAGAAGGTTGAAGACTGTCCAAAAGCCATATGCAATGGCTAACTCCATCCCTTCTTCATCTCCAGTCAAAACACATGTTGGTTACACCCCAGGCTTCTATGTGACCAACAGGAACCTTAGCTATACAACCCAAGTCATGCCCAAACTTGATGGAACCAAGTCAACAGAAGGGTTTGTAACACAGATGTTTGCAGCCTGAAGGGCCTCTGATCAGCTAAGTCTTGAGAAAACCTGATACCACTTGAGTAATACTTTGGTGACAGGATTACTTTGAATTAGAAGACTCTTATAAAGGTGCTTAAAAATCAGAGTAGAAGTAGAACACTTGGGAGGTAGAGGCAGGCAGATCTCTGTAAGTTCAAGGCCTGCCTCGTCAACAAAGAAGTCCAAGACAGCAGGGCTGTTAATAAAGAGAAACCCTGTCTTGAAATAAATGAATAAATAAACCACACACACACACACACACACACAAAGTAGAAAATGCTACTAAATTTTTAAGTCTTCTAATTGACATTCACATATTACTTTTTTAATTATTAAAATTAGATTTTAAAACTACATATGCCATAAACACACATTTTATAAGCACCCTGTAAGCACAAGGGGTTTAAAAAAACCACAAGAATGAGTCCCTAAAAACACTTACCTCAAAATATTTTATTTTCCTGGCATTTCTCACTGCAATAGAAAGTAATTTGTAGAAACCACTGATGAGTGGCAATCGTGTAGACTGTAAAATCAACTCATATCCAAATGAGTATACCCATGGCTCAAAATATCGTATTTGTTTCTTAGGAAGAATCTCCCTATAAAAACAAGATATTTAAGGAAGAAATTTTCATCCTATTAATTCTTACTGAGCTTTAAGATTATGAGACATTAAAATGATGGACAATCCCATTTGTAACACTTTTAAACATTTTAACATTTTTTTTTTTTTGTATTTACGAGACAGGGTTTCTCTGTATTGTTTTGGAGGCTGTCGGTCCAGCCCAGCCTCGAACTCACAGAGATCCGCCTGCCTCTGCCTCCCGAGTGCTGGGATTAAAGGCATGCGCCACCACTACCCGGCTAAACATTTTAACATTTTTAAGGATATGTATGCTACTTTTTTCTGGCCTGAGGTTTTCTAACTCTTCACAAAACAAAAAGCTAAGACTAAACTGCTAAAAATATTTTAAGGCCTATAGAAATAATTTTAGATTATTTCAACTCTTACATTTATATAAGGGATCTCTTCAGCTAAAGATAATAAACTGATGGTTTTTACTCTTAAATAATTAAAATTCTACAAAATACCTGCAAAACTCTACCAGGTTAATGAAGGCTGAAAAATCTTTTGGTTTAGCAGGGTGCAAATTAGCAGCTGGATCTGAAGTTGGTATCACCCAAACACCAGTAGTGCTTCCATTCTGAAAAATTATCGTAAACAATAATTGTTCCACTTAACACATCATTCAACAAATAACTTTCCAATGAAACTGTCATATACAACTGATTTATTAGGAAAGAATGTAGAAGTAAGGAAGACATAATTGAATCCTCAAGAGTTTACATTTTAAGAATAATGGGGATTACAGAAGCAGCAAACCAAAAGACTCACAAGAAAGAATGGGAAAAATAAAAAATACAAGGTAGGGAGAGTATTGATTTTTCATCTTACAAGGTTTTTGAGACAGGGTTTTACTCTGCCTAGGGTAGCCTAGGCTACCCTTGAACTCATAACAATCATACTGTTTCTGCATGGAAACCCACATATAGCCAACATAAAGGGAGGGTTATTTGATGGGTTGTCCTTTTGTATATATGTTTTTCTTATTGGTTAATGAATAAAAACATTGATTGGCTGACTGGCCAGACAGGAAGTGACCATAGCTGGGCAGAATCAGGATACAAGCAGGGACAAACGAGAAACCACTCTTCTCTGCTGAAATGCTTAGGAGTTGCCATGTGAGCCTGGGAAGAGAGGACGCGTCAGGCGTTCTCACGTAAGCCAAGATCACGTGTTAATACACAGATTAATAGCTAGCCAATAAAAAGCCCTAGCCACTGACCAACAGTTTCATAATTAAGATAGCACCTTAACAGAGACAAACTTCAAAAAGGAGAAATTATCAATAATGGCTAATGCATTTCTAATTGCTAAATGAAAAAATAATGAAAGATACTTATTTATATAAAATACATTTTATATTGTTCATGTATGCTCTTTTTTGAGACAGGGTCTTACTATGGAGGCAGATGAACCTCAAATTGCTATGTAGTCAAGCCTGGCCTTGAACTCATTATCTTTCTACTTAATCTCCTAAGATCTGGAATCACAGGCATATAAAATCACACACATCACATTTTAAAATATATTTTTAAGTCTGTTATCAAATAAAATTTTTGTACTCAAATTCTAAGATTAAACAACTACTGAAAAACAAAAACCAAGTATGGTAATGCATGCCTGTAATCCTGGAACTTTGGAGTCCAATGCAGGATTTTGAGTTAAATGCTCAGCCTAAACTAGAGAGTGGTACTGTCTCAAACAAAACAAAAACTATAGAGTAAGAACCTACAAGTGGTTGGGAGGTCAGCTGTAACAGAAGTGGCAGGTGATAATATCAAAGAAAGAGAAGTGGCTAACGTTAACAACAATGACAGATGTGTTCTAAATTGTAGGTGGGTTTGCTGATATATGGTTCTCTAAAGCATCTTTAGGGAAAGTTTGTGTATATTGGTTTACGTGTGTTTTGAAGCAGGTTTTTACTCTGTAATACATCGTGACATGGAACTTGCTATGTAGCCCAGCATGTACCTTTGAATTCATGGCAATCCTGCTAACTCAATTTTCACAGGGCCAGAATTACAAAAGTGAGGCACCATGTCCAATGCAGCCTAGTTGAATAGTCTTATTTTTTTCAACTAAGATTTATTTTTACTTTAATTTGTGTGTGTGTGTGTGTGTGTGTGTATATGTGTGTGTGTGTGTGTGTGTGTGTGTGCACGCGCTTCTATGTATGAGATATCACATGTGTATGAGTGTGTGTAGGGGACAAAAAGGGTGCTGGATTCCCTGGAGGTGGAATTATAGCACCTGACATGAGTGCTGGTCACACATAGGTTTGCTGAGGCAGAGTCTCATTTGGTAACATCATCTACCTGCATTACTTTCTCAAATGTTGTTAACAGGCAAGTGGTACTACACCTGAGTAAAATATGTTTTAATATACTAAGCATACTTTGTAAATATTCTATATATTGGGTAACATACAACAGAAAGACACCTATGTCACATCATCATGGCAAAGAAACTCAGTTTCTTTTCTCCCTTGAAGATGTATTATTGTCCTGAGCATGTAAAGAGTGAGTTTTAAAATGATGCAAAATTATTTTTTAAAAGAATTTCTAACCTCATGCTCTTCAACAGTCTGTTTCTCCAGTGTAAGATCCAATTTTTCCATAATCTTCAAAACTGATCTTATAAATTCATCATAGAGTAAATGATTCAGACTTTGGAGGGAGGAATTCATAAAGAGAAATGTTTCATCTGCTAAAATAAAATCCTGTAAATAAAAATTTAAAGATTTCAAAAACTTTAGTTTATTTTAAATGCATTATGCTGTGTACTTTCGCAGGTATTATGATGGAAACAGTGATATATAAACTGTAACTAATTTACCTAGAGTTTTAAAACTTCAAAACTTAAATGTATCTTTTCATATTATTATGACATTGTAATCAAATAGTATGACTTAGCTGGTTAAGTTACAAATACTCTATCCATGAAAGTAAATGTGAGGATGCAAGACAACCTTGTCAGAGCATTTACCTCAATCAGTTTGTGTGTCTGTGTGTAAACACACACTGATATAACAGCTTGCTCTCTGTCTCACAATCTCTGCTTCCCTCCCTCTATCTTAGGTCCTGGGAACTAATGGGAATAAGCCTCCCACAAGACCCAGCAATTCCACTCTTAGGCATATATCCAAAAGATGCACATTCATACAACAAGGACATCTGTTCCACTATGTTCATAGCAGCATTATTTGTAATAGCCAGAACTTGGAAGCAACCTAGATGCCCCTCAACTGAAGAGTGGATAGAGAAAATGTGGTACATTTACACAATGGAGTACTATTCAGCAGAAAAAAAAACAATGGAATCCTGAATTTTGCAAGCAAATGGAGGGCACTAGAAGAAACCATCCTGAGTGAGGTAACCTAGTCACAAAAAGACAAACATGGTATGTACTCTCTCATATATGGATTTTAGACATAGATCTGGGGAGTGCCAGCCTACAATCCCACGGCCAGGAGTCTGGGAAACAGAACCTTCATTCAATGGCTGATGGAAACAGAGGCAGACTCCCACAGCTAAACACTGAGCTGAACTCAAGAAACCCAGTGACAGAGAGGGAGGACTGATGAGCAAAGGAGTTAAGACTGGGCTGGTTTAACCCCCCAGAAACAGCTGACCTGTCAAGGGTTAGCTCTTGAATCCCAGGCTGATGGCTGGGAATCCAGCATGGGACTGATCAAGACCCCCTGAATGTGGTATCAGTGAGGAGGCCTAGGCCATCTATTGGGCCTTGGGTAGTAGAACAGTATTTATGCCTGGCATACAAATGGACTTTGGGTGCCCATCCAACAATGAGAAATGCACTCTCACCCTGGACTCTTGGGGGAGGGTCTAGGCCCTGCCCTGGATGAAATGACAGACTATGGACATCCCCATGGAGGGCTTCACCCTCCCTGGGAAAATGAGAGGGTATTGGGGGGGGGGGGCGTTGGTGGGAGGGCGTGGGAGGAGGGGAGGGAAAGGAAGAGGGAACTGGGATTGACATATGAAGCAACCTTGTTTGTAATTTAAATTTAAAAATAAAAGTATAAATAAATAAATAAATAAATAAATAAATAAATAAATCTCATAATTCCTAAGTGGTGCTGTTTCAACAACTCACATTCCGGCCCCTATATTCTCTTTTGTTTTGACAGGATATCATAGCCCAGGCTGGTTTCCACCTTCTGAGCCATGGGCAACCACATCCAAAACGCTGAGATTATTTCACATCCAAGCTATATGTCACTACTACATCCATCCGCCTGACATACTATTTAAACCCAATAATAAAAAAACTAAGAATGCATGACTTTTGAGAGGACAAAAATCACCTATTGTGAAAAACTTCTTGTCCTAGACTATTAGTGTTTTGCTGAAGTATATATTAAAATACTAGCCACTAGAAACTAAAATATTGTCATCTAGCAGTGTATTCAAAGAGGCATCATTCTAATTTGCTGTGTAAATAACTAATGCATACCAACTCCTCAGAACTATTAAACAAACTGGATTCACCTGCTCAGCAAAGAGAACAGTAAAGAATGTGCTTAGCACACTCAAGGCCCTGGGTTTAGTTTCCAGGAGAGACTGGGTGGGGGAGCACAGAGAAAAAGGGAAAAGACTGAGAGAGAAGCAGCTAAAGCAGGAGGAGCAGACTAAGTAAGGCAGAGGGAGGACTGCAATCGTCCTGCTATGAGAAGACTTTAAAAAATTAATTTTCTTCTGCAATGCTGAAGGAAAAAAACCAGGACTTTGTTTGCATGTTAGAGAAATGCTCTACCACTCAGTGATAATACTAGCCCTTACTTTACTTATTTCTGGTTTTACTTTCAACTGCTTTGACTTTCACTATTTTAATTATGCTTTAAGATCTTTTGAAAGTTAGTAAAATTCTGAAATAAATGTCTTATACCCCGTTTTTACTAGTTTTTATGTCAACTTGACACAAGCTAGGGTCACCTGGGAAGAAGGAATCGTAATTGAGAAAATGCCTCCAAAAGACTGGCCTGTAGGCCAATCTGTAGGGCATTTTCTTGATTGTCGATTGATATGGTGGGAGGGCTCAAATAACTGAGGGCAGTGCCACCCCTGGGTAATTGGACATGGATGATACAAAAAAGAAGGCTGAGCAAACCATGAGGAGCAAGCCAGTGAGCAGCCTCCATGACTTCTGCTTCTCTTCCTGCCTCCAGGTCCCTGTCCTGACTTCCCTTGGAGATGAACGGACATTGAAATGAAGCCTTTCCTTCCCCTAGTTGCTTCTGCCCACATTATTTTACCACAGCATAGAAACCCTGACAAAGACACCTCTATAAATATGGAGACATTTTGTTCTGTGTTTATGAGACAAGGTATCTTATGTGCTGGTTATGGTTTATATTGTTCTAGTGGAGTTTCTTAATAGAGAAATGGAGTACTTTTATAGTTTTCAAATTATAAATTTGGTTGGAGTTGAAAGCAAGAGTATCAGGAGTTTAAGGAAATTCTTAGTTACATATAAAACTTAAGTCACATAACACCCTCTTCCAGAAAAACAAAACAACAGGTTAGAGAGATGGCCAAGTAAAGAAAGGCATTTGTACCCAAGCCTTACAACCTGTTTGATTTCTGGGAACTACTTGGTCAAAGGACAAAACTGACTCCTAAAATTTGTCCTCTGACTGCTACACTAGTGTGTGACAAGCTCCCCAAATAAGGAAGGGCATTAAAACATACATATTTAAAATTTTTACCATCATCTGGTCACAGCTTAAAAGATGCCGAAAAAGATCCACATAATCTTTGTATGTGGGCACTTTCCACTTGCCCGTTCTGACTTCCCCTGAGGCCCACTGGTTATCAGACTTGGACTCAACATCCTGGAAAGGAAGACAACATCCCATAATTGATTGGTGGACATACAAGGCAGCTGCTGTCAGAACATAATGACTTAACAGAATTTGCTAAACTAAAATAGCAACCAATATAACCTCTGCAATAAACTGAAGAAAGTTAAGACAAGAGAATAAAAGGACTGAAAAGGTTACATCAGTGACTGTGGCCAATGAATATTTTTTGATATATCTATCAAATCCACTTCAAAGCATCCCTCTTCTTAGATGATCCAATCTCTCATTCCATTCATGTTCCTCTAACTTCTACACACTTTTATATTTTTCCCATATTATAAGAGAAAACAGTTCTTTCTTTGTAAATAGGAACAGAAAGAAGCCTCAGCAGGTAAAGGCATTTGCTATCAAGCCTGATGACCTGAGTTTGATTCCTGAAACCCACATGGTGGAGAAAAGAACTGTATCCTGAGTGTTCCTTCTGACCTCCACAAGCATGTACATACACACACACACACACACACACACACACACACACACACACACTGAAAGAAAAAAATGTAAAGTGTTTGTAACATAATTTTATTCCTTAAAAGTATATTCATCTGACAAAGACTGGTATTACACATAAAATTTCAAAATGTAAGACATGGATGGGCTGGAAATGTGGCTTGGTTGGCAGGTTGCTTGTCTAGTATGCACAAAAACCTGGGTTCAATCCTCAGCACTACATAAATGTGGCATACTGGTGCACACCTCTAATCCTAGCTCTTATAAATTACAGGAAGGAATACTAGGAGTTCAAAGTGATCCTTGGCTACATACCAAGTTTAAAGCCAGCATAGGATAATGGAGACTGTCTCAAGAAAGGGGGTAGTGGAGGTTAAAACAAACAAACAAAAAAAGGTTTTTATAAATTTACATGCTAAAAGACTATTTCTAACATCTAGTGATAATATTAGTTTTTGAAACTTTAGATTCAGAATTTACCTTGTGAAGGACCACTGGTTTAGAACATATTCTAATTAAACCTTGATGCACTAAAAATAAAGAAAATGAAAGAATAATGAAGGAAACAGTGAGAAACACAGTTACTCAATAAAAACAACAATCATTATTTTACCTCTTAATTTCTGTTTGGAATCTGTTAATTCAGAGACTAAATAACCACTTAATTAATGACTATTAAGTGTTTGGCCTTAAATGGGACATCTGTATCATTACCATCACCCCCCCCCCAAGCCTTAAGGAACATCTTGGATGAAGGGTAAAATGAATGTAAGGGCTAGTGGATGTGAAGGAATGCTATGACATGATATGACCACTGTATCTACAAACTCACTGCAGGTATGACTATGTACACAAAATCAAGTCAACAAGATTAGTCAGCATTGCAACAGGCTGCACCCAACTGGACCCAGTGACCTGTCAACAACAAAATAAAGAGAGAGCATGAATGTAGTGGGAAAGGGACTGAGGGCTCATAGGCAGAGAGAGAGAGAGAGAGAGAGAGAGAGAGAGAGAGAGAGAGAGAGAGAGAGAGAGAGAGAGAGAGAGAGAGAGAGAGACTTGCAGGCTGTGATGGTTTGAATGAGAATGGTACCCAGAGGCTCACTCATGTTTGAAGGCCTGGTCCCCAGTTAGTGAGACTGTGTGGGAAGGATTAGGAGGTGTGGCCTTGTTGGAGAAGGTGTGTCACTGGAGGTGCTCTCTGAGATTTCAAAAACCCTTGTGATGCCCTGTGTCCCTCTCTGACTAAACTTGTGGATCACACATGAGCTCTTACATACTGCCTCAGCACCACTCCTGCCTGCTTGCCTGCTGCCATGTTCCCTGACATGATAATCATGGACTAACTCTCTGAAACTGGGAGTAAGCCCCCAAATAAATGCTCTCTTGTATAAGCAGCCTTGACCATGGTGTTTCTTCACAGCAATAGAACAAGAACTAAGACAGGGGTGTGTATGATCAAGATTGTTTACATGCTTGAAAATGTCAAAAACTAAATGAAAGATTCTGTTTAAAGAAGTAGTACCACTGACTCTAACTTCTAATAAAGAAAAATATTTTTATATTTTTTTATTTTTTTGGTTTTTACGAGACAGGGTTTCTCTGTATTGTTTTTGAGGCTGTCGGTCCAGCCTGGCCTCGAACTCACAGAGATCCGCCTGCCTCTGCCTCTCGAGTGCTGAGATTAAAGGCGTGCGCCACCACCGCCCAGCTAAGAAAAATATTTTGATTCATCAAAATGAAAAGTTCTCTAAAAAGTACTAATTACACAAAAAATTAGGAACCAGATTTCCTTTAAATATATCAAATAGCATGTTAAATGTTTAACACCACAATAAGAATGAAAATAAGGCTGGGTGGTGGTGGCTCACGCCTTTAATCCTGCTAGGATTAAAGTACTACTTAGGAGGCAGAGGCAGGCTGATCTCAACGAGTTTGAGGCCAGCCTGGTCTACAAAGCAAGTTCCAGAATTGTTACACATGATACCCTGTCTCAAAAAAAATAAAATAAAAAATAAATGGAAAGCTTACCCACAGTACTAATGCAATTCCAGTGAACTGGTCCTTTTTCTGCTAAGGCTAGGAAAACTTTTACTATTGCTTTACAACACACCAACTGCATTTTAGGACTGTAATGAGGGAAGTTTTCTATCTGTACCACCATGAGATGTTCAAGAACTGGAGTATATACCTCGGGAACCTACCAGAAATGAAGTACAAATTCAAAATTAGAACAGGGAATAAGTCTAAGAGTAATATATAAGTGTAAAAAAAGGATAAATACAAGAATTATATAAACATACACTCAAATTTATTAGAACTGAAGTAGTACAAGTAAAGAAAACTGACTTATAATCTTAGCTATCAAACTTAGCATTTATTATTACAGGCTGCCAGAAAAAAAAATCATAATAAACTGTCTGAGTGGTATTTACAGTACAATTCTATCCTAAGTGGCAACTGGAACCTTTTAGAGATAGAAAGATAGCACCTACTTTTCCTGCTCTAGACTCCAGCTTCTTTTGTTTTGTTTTGTTTTTATTATTATTGGCCATAACTATATTATAAAATGCCTAATGTAGGGATCTGGGAAGATGGTTCAGTCAATAAAGTGCATGAAGACCTGAGTTCAGATCCACAGAATACACGACTCCAGCTTCTTAAATTGTGTGTTAGCATCCAATATGGGATCATTCAATCAACTACAGGGGTATATCAGAATCTGATACATCACAAGATGTATTAGAATAGTAAAACATTTCTAAATATCCAGATTCAAAGCTAATTTTTAAAAGAACAACAAACATTTAAAGAACCTGAGGTGTGGGACTGGAGACATGTCTCAGAGCTGAAGAGCATGGTGCTCTTCCACAGTGAGATCCAATCCCAGCACCCACATAGCAGCTCACAACTGTCTGTAACTCCAACTCCAGGGGATCTAATACCCCCTTCTGGCCTTTGACTGCACAAAGCACACATGCATCAAACACCTATATACAAAATAAATGTTTAACAAAATGAAGAAATGAATCTGAGACGTTTCTACAGGTGCTTACCTATGTTGTAACATATGACTTTATAACCACCTAGGTTCTGAACATATACTCTGCATCATGCTATGTAGTACCTAAAACACTTCAGTTCAAATTTAAAACTGTGTGATGAACTAATGTCTTTTTATTTGAAATGCTGTCAAAACATTAAATGCTCTTTTTTTTTTTTTTTTTTTGGTTTTTCGAGACAGGGTTTCTCTGTATTATCTTGGAAGCTGTCCTGGAACTCGCTTTGTAGACCAGGCTGGCCTCGAACTCACAGAGATCCACCTGACTCTGCCTCCCGAGTGCTGGGATTAAAGGCATGCGCCACCAACGCCCAGCTAAATGCTTTTTAAAACAATTGCTAATTACAAATTTCTTTGATATTTTTCTATAATTTCTCAGCATGTAAGTAGTAAATTACTATATCTTCAAATGATATTGTATTAGAATGTTTGACTTTAAAAGCTGCTCTCTGAAGCTGGAGACATGGCTCAGCATTTGGAAGTACTTGTTGCTATTACAGAGGGTTTGGTTCCCAGAGCTCACATAGTAGCTCATAACTGTCTGTCATTTTAGTTTCAGGGGATTTGGTATATTCTTCTGGCCTCCCTGGACACAAGGCAGACACATGATGCATATTCGTATCTGCAAGCAAAACACTTGTATGTCTAGACATTAAAATAAATAAAACCTTTATAAAAAGAAACAGCAAAACTTCTGCTTGGATTTCTGATTTAAAGTCCATTAAAGAAAAAAAATCATTACATGAACTGTGGTATTGTCCTAATGGACAATACTTCCAGTTCTAAACCAGCCTTAAACACACTTTTGTTATCTGGGGCTACACATTTATGCCAATAAGCATTCTCAGCACTGATGGTTATAGAATCATGTATCAATTCTGAACAATACTGAAGATACTGTACACCCTATAGCAGCAAATAGTCAACCACGATTTAAATCTTTACGTAAAAATAAACAAGCAATCCATCACATTAGTATGCAAATTTGCTTTCATCTTTAATAAATGAGAAAATTAAGCAGAAACCAAAGAATTGTTTCAGGATAAATTTAGTTATGCTTTATTATCAGAAAGTGTTTGATTTGTAGAACTATTTAATATACACAGGATTGCATCAAAATTTCCCTCGTAATAAGGGATCACGAGTGGTAATAGTTTTAATAACCCAGCTTTAGGTAACAACAAAAATCTATTGTCACAAATACTAAACAAAATGTTGTGGAGATCACAGTGGTACCTATACTAAATGATCCAACATATGATTCAAAATTCCTTGTGGAAGGGTTCTGTCCTTCAGTAAACGAGAAGGCCCAGAGAGCAGTAGAGGACTTCAAGTGTCTGTCGCCTGTCTTTACCTCCCCGACCCACGTCATGCTACAGTTCCTGCTTGGATTTACTTTGTGCAACATAGTTGGAATGTACCTGACTCAGAACTGTGACATAACAAACCTGGCTAAACAATCTGAAAGTCAAAACACCCCCTAGGTCCCGATACCCACTAGGGCTACATCTGGATCCACCAGTTATGACTGCTAGGAGGCCTGCCTCCTCTACTGCCTCACCGAAGCTTTTATGTTACTTTGCAATTGTGGAGCCAATATAGGGCCAGAAGGAAAAGTAACCCTGACAGTTCCAGAAGCCTCACTTCTTCCCATACCTTCTTTCCAGATACCTAGAAGGTTCTAAGACAGTAACTGTGGTGTTAGCCTGCAAACACAACTTTCACTAGTAGTTGCTTACCTGTCCTTTGAGATTTCTATAATTGTTAGAAGAAATACTAATGCATTTTGGCTAGTCAATCAGACATAAGAAATGCTGTTGGTTTCAAGAGCTAACACTCACAATAGGTGCTCGTTAGATATTTGTTGCTTCAAAAAATTGAAATTAGTATCGCCAAGCAAGTTTCTGGTGAATTATCCATTTATTTTATACTGTTATCAAGGAGACCACAATTGATAATTTAACCAAAAAATCATGTGCTTTTCATTAATAACAATAAAGATTACTTACGGAGATGAAATTAAGTTCTTCTGACCATGCTCAGTGTAACCATTTCACTTACTGTGTCAAGGTAAAGCAGAACACTTGCAATAGACTGCAGGAAACTTGGCATCTGGTAAACATGATCTTCAGTAGCTTCTGTCTGGGTGAGGAACATCTGCTTACAGCGCTGAATGAGCTCGACATACATGATATCAACATCTTTTGCATTTATTACTTTGCAAGGCTTTAGGAAAGGCAAAACAGAAATCATATCAATGTCAAAACAGAGTCACTTAAAATGTCATGTAAGGACACATGACTATAAACTGCTTCATATTAGCAAGCTAGTTACTTGTTTATCTTACTGCACATAAAATATTGTATCTTATGCTTTTCATAATGCATATTCACATCCTAGACAGTTACTTCTCTATGTTATTAACTATGTTCTAGGCTGTTTAAAAGGCAGGTCTCACTATGCACTGGCCCTGTAAGGTTTGTCACTCCAACAGGATACGTCTTGCATACTGCTTATTTCATCTCTGGATTAGTTAGAACTGCGAACAGAAACAAATGGAGACAAGGAATAAAAGAGAATGAAGACGGGTAAGGCGAGGAAAGAGAATAAGAAGGAAGATGCTAATGGATAAAACTGCAAGAAGAGATAGGAAATTAGTTTTCTTAGAACAAATTGTCACAGAAATCCACTAAGAAATAACTGGAGTTATTCATAGCATCTTTTTGGGGTGGTGGTTGGGGGGCTGGGTGGATAAGGCCTATGCTAGCCTTCAATTTAGTATGTAACCCAGACTGCCCTCAATCTGTAGCAATTCCCATTTACCTTCCTGAAGCCTAGATGATAGGCAAGAATCCAGCTAGTCTTCTTAAATACGTCTTTCTGTCCTGAGAGCATCTGCCTAAAACTTTTAAGTGAAAATAACTATAGTTTTACTGTATCAACAGGGGGCTGCAAAGTACAAAATGAAATGTGATGCTTCTAGCCTTCAGAGCTGAATTTATGTGGGGTTTTGTTTGTGTGCTTGGAGGTTGTTAACTATGTTCTAGCCTTCAGAGCTGAATTTATGTGGGGTTTTGTTTGTTTGTTTGGAGGTTGTTAACTATGTTCTAGCCTTCAGAACTGAATTTATGTGGGGTTTTGTTTGTTTGTTTGGAGGTTGTTAACTATGTTCTAGCCTTCAGAGCTGAATTTATTTGGGGTTTTGTTTGTTTGTTTGGAGGTTGTTACTCTATGTTCTAGCCTTCAGAACTGAATTTATGTGGGGTTTTGTTTGTTTGTTTGGAGGTTGTTAACTATGTTCTAGCCTTCAGAACCGAATTTATTTGGGGTTTTGTTTGTGTGCTTGGAGGTTGTTAACTATGTTGTAGCCTTCAGAACTGAATTTATTTGGGGTTTTGTTTGTTTGTTTGGAGGTTGTTAACTATGTTCTAGCCTTCAGAGCTGAATTTATGTGGGGTTTTGTTTGTTTGTTTGGAGGTTGTTAACTATGTTCTAGCCTTCAGAACCGAATTTATTTGGGGCTTTGTTTGTTTGTTTGGAGGTTGTTAACTATGTTCTAGCCTTCAGAGCTGAATTTATTTGGGGTTTTGTTTGTTTGTTTGGAGGTTGTTAACTATGTTCTAGCCTTCAGAACCGAATTTATTTGGGGTTTTGTTTGTGTGCTTGGAGGTTGTTAACTATGTTCTAGCCTTCAGAACTGAATTTATGTGGGGTTTTGTTTGGTTTTTTTGTTTGGTTTTTGTACTTCTTGGTTGTTAACAATCTCCTAAGCGTGTTTAGATGGCCTAGGCTGCCTTAGAGCTCTATATAGTTCAGGCTGGTCACAAACTCTTAATTCTCCTCCCTGTTTCCTACACTGGGATTATAGGCATGTATCAACCCTAGGTAAGATTTATACCTTTTTTCTAGCAATCCAGGGTAGCTTTTGACAAGTTAGCTGACTTTTCTTGGTCTTGGTTTTTTCTTGTAGAAAATAGACTAATAACTCATCTGGTCAATGAACTATGGGGATCTGAGATAATGCATGTATTGGAGTACACAGTAAACATTGAAAATTGAACTGTTAGTAGAACAAGTACCAGTAATATCAATACAAGCACAACATGCTATTTTTTAAAATGCAGTGTTAAATTCCTGTAAATAATTAACCAAAAACATGAAATATAGTAAACTGATGAATCATACTCCCGCAAATAGTCCATATCCACGAATAGCAATGGATAACTCCTTGTTGTTCGAATCTGCATTTCTGATGATTTTATAGAACTCCTCCATAAAGTACATCAACTGACTCTTATGCAGTTCTGCATCTTCTGCCACAGTGAATGAAATCTGTAATTGTATAACATTTGCGCTTTAGAAACATTTAATAACCAAAGGACATAAATAAAATGACAATATACTATTATAAAGCAGGGCAGTGTTGGTACATGCCTTTGATCCCAACACTCTTGAGGCAGAGGTAGGCGGATCTCTGTGAGTTCGAAGCCAGTCTGGTCTACAGAATTTAGTGCCAAGATAGGCTCCAAAGGTACACAGAGAAACCCTGTCTCAAAAAATCAATATATACATGCATATATGTATATATATATTATAATTATTAATTACATATATGTATATATATTATTATAATTACATTTGACTACTATTACTAAAAAAAGACAGTATTAGTCAAAAAAGACTATTACTCAATAAATACATTACTCTGACGTCAGTGAGCACTAGGCAGACATGTGGTAAACATACCATACATGCCAGCAAAAGACTCAGATACAAAATAAATAGGGCTAGCTGTGGTGGCTCACATCTTTAATCCCAGTACTTGGGAGGCAGAGACAAGTAGATTTCTGAGTTCGGGGTCAGCCTGGTCTACATAGCAAGTTCCAGAACAGTCAGCATTGCATAGAGAGACCCTGTCTCAAAACACCAAGTAAAATAAAATAGATGATAGATAGGTAGGTAGGTAGGTAGGTAGATCAATCTATCTTAAAAGAATAAGTTGGGAGGGATAGACTGGAATATAAGTGACAGAACAGTTTCCTGAGCTTAGCTAGACCTAAAGGACAACAATGTTTTCTCTTTCCCTCCCTCCCACATATCAAAAAGTGAATCTTAAGCCAACACTGCACTTCATTTTAGGTTTTAAAGGACAAGCTTATGAAGTAAACTACTACTTATCCTTTTTTTTTTCTTTTTCTTTTTTTTTTTTTAAACAGTCTATGTAGTCCTGGCTGTCCTGGAACTTGCTATGTAGACAAGGCTGGACTTAAACTCAGAGATCCACCTGCCTCTGCCTCCTGAGTGCTGTGATAAAAGGTATGAGCCACTATGCCTGGCCCTACTTATCCATTTTTAATAGTGCTACAAGCAAAACTTTTCTTTTATCCACCAGCACTTCCTGTCAGAGCCAATGTGCCTGCTTCCTCAGCACCTAGCCAAGATGCCCTACAGAGTTTTGATCATCTGAGATCATCCAAGCTTGTTCGTTCAGTCTAGCTAACATGCATGGTAGATCAATAGCAAAGCTTTCTGCTGTAAATGCTACAGGAACTAATGAATCACCTTATTATTTTTCAAACATATGGCAAAAAAATCGGAATTTAGTTCTTTTGTGGAAGCTTTTAATGAAAGTTAATCTGAAGTACCTGCTTCAGGAAGGATTCCAGGGCTGAATGTGCAGCTTTCTTTAATTCCACATTTGTATGGCTGCACCACTTTGACAGTACTTCAAATAAAGTAATATAGTTGTCCAGAAGACAGGCAGTAAATTGAGATGCATGTAGGGTAAATAATCGTAGGCCAGCTGCAAATACAAAAACCATTCCATTTAAAATAGGTCAACAAAAGCCAGAAAAGAGAATTAAGAAAGCTTCCTTTATGTGCTAAAAGTTAAAATCATGCTTAAGAAGTTTTTGTATATAGATAGGCACAGTGGTACACACCTTTAAGTACTCAGGAAACAGAGGCAGGCAGATTTCTGTGAGTTTTAGGCCAGTCTGGTTTACAGAGTGAGTTCTAGGACAGGCAGACCTATACAGAGAGACCCTGTCTCAAAATGCAAACAAAAAAAAGATACAGTAGATTATCCTACAACAATCTGATGATCTCAAAGAGCCTTCTAATTCTTCCAATCTCCACACTAACTTAGGTCCATGACCTGGCACCAAAAAAAACAGTCAGAAACAGGATCTGGATTCATTAGTTCATAGTAAAACCAAGCAGTGTATGGTATGAGGACAAAGCAAAGTTAGTAGAGTGCTTGGTTAGCATGCACAAGGCCCTGGGTTTGGTAGCTAGCATAACATAAGCAAGGTGTGATACATACACCTGTAATCTCAGCACTAGGAAAGTGAAGTTGTCAGCTATACAGTGAGGTTAAATGTCACACCAGGCAACATGAAACCATGTCTCAACAACAATAACAAAATAATCAAACAGCTTGAATTTCCTGACTAACAGCCAAACATATATTTTTTAAATATTTAAAATTCTTTTCTATATGGATTTATAACATTTTTGATCAGACTCTAATTACATTAACATTAAAATGTATATTCTTTTTTTTAAAAATTGCTATCACATTTGTATGTTTGCACAGGCACAAGTTAAAAAGACAATTTGCAGGAGTCAGAGCTATTCTGCCACTACATGGGTCCTGGAGATAGAACTCAGTTCATCACACTTTGGGGTCATGAACCTTTAAGTCATCTAGCCAGCCCCTAACAAATATATATACAAATATATCTATGTTTAAATCATGTAGCATGACTATGATCCCAGTTAAGAGTTTATTGCTTACATTAGTCTTCTTAAACTAACGAAGTCTTAAAGCTTCATTGTACATAGTTACATGTGAAATATCACAGACTCTTGTGCATCTATCTACCTTCATGCTAGCTTAAACAGAACCTTACTCAAGATGCTAACTTGAGTAATTTACATTGTTACTTCGTTAAACAAAGAATCTTACCCAAGGGCACAGCATAGCGCTTCATCTCGATCTATGACAGAAAAAAAAAATCATCATTATTTGAAAATCACAAGTCCCCAACTGTGAAAGACTTCGAGTAATATTAATACTACCTGAGGACGAATTGCTTTTAATGCAAAACCAAAGATCTCCCTTGAAGTCTGGGGATCTGAGGGAATAATAACAAAAGAAGTCTGTTAAAGTATCTTACCACCATATATATATATTTTTTTCTTTTTTTGGTTTTTGAGACAGGGTTTCTCTGTATTGTTTTGGAGCCTGTCCTGGAACTCGCGTTGAAGACCAGGCTGGCCTCGAACTCACAGAGATCCACCTGCCTCTGCCTCCCGAGTTCTGGGATTAAAGGCGTGAGCCACCAACGCCAGACTACTATTTATATTCTTTATCAAAAACTTGCAAATGACAGATTTATCTTAAGACAGATTGATATTTCCAGTAGCTACACAAATCTCCTATGATTTCAGAGTAACTTCTTAACATCATTTGACCAAGCTAGAATTACCAGTTGTTACAGCTTCTGGGGAAAACCAATAGAAAGTCTGGAATAACTAATGTGTGAGCTCAGGATCTAGATCACCACCCATGTTATACAATCTCTCAGAGCCTCAGTCTGCTCATCTACAAAAGAGGCAGATTATGGCTTCTTTAAAGAAGGGAAGATTAAAGAAGTGACTTATTCAAGGCCAAATATACGCCCCTTTCTCCCGGTGCTCTCAGGGTTTCATTCTACTCACAATACCTGCTGTGTGGTTTGAATGAGAATGGCCCCCATAGGCTCATATGTTTGAATGCCTGGTCCTCATATTAGTGGAACTGTTTGGGAAAGATTAGGAGATGTGGCTTTGTTGGAGGAGGTGTGTCACTGGTAGTGAGCTTTGAGGTTTCAAAAGCCCATGCTAAGCCCAGTGTCTCTCTTCTGCCTACTGCCTGGGAATCATGATGTAAGGTCCTCAGTTACTGCTCAAATTCTGTGCCTGTCTTCTTTCTTCCATGATAAACTAACCCTCCAAAATTGCAAGCAAGCCCACAATTAAATGCTTTCTTCTAAGAGTTAACTTGGTCTCCTCACAGCAATGGAACTCTAAGACACCTGACAAGTGATGGGAATTATAAATGTGAATAAATATTACCTTGGACCCCCATAATTTGATGTCCTTAAGAAAGCAAAATATGTATATAACCATAATGTAAGGATCTTCTCCTAGGCAGGCTGATATCACAATTACCTATGTTACCTATGTAACTGTCTCCAATCACATTTTTCATTGCAGTTGCACAGAAGAGATGGTTTATTCCTGACTGGTTTCTTTGTCCTAAGCAGTGACTTGTATACCTTAGAAAACCATTTGCTTTGATAGCAGGGACTTATGTATTAGAAGGCAGACATCATAGGAGCTTGAGGGAAAATGATGTCAGAGAGGCCTATGTTTTTTAGCGTAATGTCCTAAAAGATTTTTAAAAGGCCAACTTTGAAATACAAAACCAAGAGAGTTTTACTTTATATCCAAAAAAGGAATTATTAGGTGGGCAGTGGTGGCACATGCCTTTAATCCCAGCACTCAGTAGACAGAGGCAGGTGGATCTCTGAGTTCCAGGCCAGCCTGTTCTATAGCCAAGGCTACACAAAGAATCCCTGTCTTGGAAAAAAAAAGCAAGGAAGGGGAGGGAAGGACGGAGGAAGGAAGGAAGGAAGGAAGGAAGGAAGGAAGGAAGGAAGGAAGGAAGGAAGGAAGGAAGGAAGGAAGGCTGACATAATAGTTTCTGAACTGGGATTGAAAGAGGTGGTTTACCTAAAGGAAAGGCCATTTAGATACAAGTAACTGGAATACTGGGAATAAGAGTGCACAGTGGAAGGGAGAGAGAGATGCAGATAAGAGAAAGGGGGGGAATCAACCAACATAAAATGTGTGGAAATTCATATAAAAATCTCTCTTGGGGTGCTGGAGAGATGGCTCAGAGGTTAAGAGCACTGACTGCTCTTCCAGAGGTCCTGAGTTCAATTCCCAGCAACCACATGGTGGCTCACAACCATCTACAATTCAATGTGGTGCCCTCTTCTGGTGTGTAGGCAGAACACTGTATATGTAATAAATAAATAAATCTTTTTTAAAAATCTTTTTTTTTTTTTTGGTTTTTTTGAGACAGGGTTTCCTCTGTTTTGTTTTGGAGGCTGTCCTCGAACTCGCTTTGTAGACCAGGCTGGCCTCAAACTCACAGAGATCCGCCTACCTCTGCCTCCCAAGCGCTGGGATTAAAGGCATGCACCACCAACGCCCGGCTAAAAAATCTATTTCTTTATAAGCCAATGTGAAAAAAAAAAATAAAAGGAAACAAAACCAACTACAGCAAATTGTTTTTAAGAACAAGAAAAACAAAGTACTTATAAATACAGCCTGCAGTCATAAAAGCAATAGGCCCTCCCCAGTGTAGAGGGGTCTGGACTGTTCCAGAGAACATAGGGAGGTCTGACCTTGGCCTTTAGCCTCCTCCTACTACCTCCTCCCACATACACACCCTCCCATCTCAGATGGATAACTTCCTATATACACATCCTCATATCTATTTTTAATGGGGTAAAAATGTGCATAATATTCATCCCTTTAAAAATATGTAAAGATGGGGCTGGAAGAGGTGGCTCAGCGGTTAAGAGCACTGGCTGCTCCTCAGAGGACCCAGGTTCAATTCCCACACCCACACACCCACATGGCAGCTCAAAACTGTCTGTAACTCCAGTTCCAGAGGATCTGACACCTTCAACCAATGCACATAAAAATAAAGTTAGATAAGTTATTTTTAAAATGTATAGATACATTTTATATTAAATATTTTCACTCTGTTGTGTAACATCATGCTCTATCCTTAAAACGTTTTCATCTACCACAACAGAGAGGCTGTACCCACTGAAAACTAGCTCCACCCCAACCCTCCTCAGCTCTTGGAAACTCGTATTTCCTGTTGCTATACTTTCTTACTCTACCTATCTTATCTAAGTGCAGCTATATACAGTGTTTTGTTTTTTGACTAGCTTATTTCACTTAGGATATCACACTATCTGGTTATAGCATAAGTCAGAATTTGTCCTTGTTTTTGAGACAAGGTCTCACTACTAGAAAGAAAACCAAACAAAATATGGCAATACCTTCTTCCATGGACTTAGTGAAGTTGCACAGAAGTGAGGACAGCCCTTTTAGACAGCCAGCTAGAACAGGAAATTTAGGTTCTCTTACTGTTGATGTCATCTAAAAGGAGGTTTTTAGGAAGATATTACAAAATGAAAAACAAACAAAAAAACAACCAAGACTATGGAGGTATACTATCATAAGGCATGTTATACCTGGGTCTTAAGCTCTCCCAGAAAAGCCCGGAACAGGTTTTCTGAATGATTTATCATTTCACTAGGATGAACTTCGCCTAATACTCCCAGTAGCTCATAGACTTTTTCTAAAACTGAAAAATAAATTCAGATAAATGAAACCCTAAAACTACATTTAAATAAGTAAAATTAACATAAACATATGAATAAGAAAATAAAAGGACGTTCAACTGAAAATGATTTGAGGGCCAGCCAGATAGTTCAGTGAGCAAAGGCACTTGCTGTCAAGCCTGACTCCTGAGTTCAAGGCCCTGAACCCACAAGGTGGAAGGAGAGAACTGGATCCCCAACTGGACTCTGACCTGTACACATGCACCTGGACATACACAAAAATATTTTTTAAACATTTTTTTAGATTTATTTATTTAGTATACAGCATCTGTCAGTATGCAAGAAAGCCAGAAGAGGTGCCAGATCTCATTACAGATGGTTGTGAGTCACCATGTGGTTGCTGGGAATTGAACTCAGATCCTCTGAAAGAACAGCCAATGCTCTTAACCTCTGAGCCATCTCTCCAGCCCCTCAAAAATATTTTTTTAATTGTAAGTAATTTCAAGGAAAACACAACATACCTAGGCTTTTCATGAAATTCTATCCCAGGTTTTATCTAAATCTCTTCCCATAAGCTAAATTATACTTGGTGTACTTTCTGTTTCAAGGAATCCTTTTATTTTCTTCCACTATGTTACTCTTTTAGCAAAACACCTTCGTAGAGGAAATTAATGGTAAGTTAGTATTACTTTGTTAAAATATTTGAAAATAACATCTCACCTGTATCAGGTAGTTTTGTTTTTGATGCAAGTTCTCCATAGAACTTGTTAAATAATTCTCCAATCTTAAATTCATCCATGAGTCTAGAACTTCTCAGTATCTTAAGTAACTAAAAGAGCACAAATTACTGTTTTCAAAAGAGAAAAATAGAAGATAACCTCTACTTCAAGAAAATTTCACAATCCCGGCCTTCAGTGGGGCTTGAGTGATAGATTGGTGGGAGATCACAGGGGAAAGACAGTCTAAACTTAATTTTAACTTCCCCCAGAGAACAATAACATGGCTGGAACTATTTCTTCAGAGGCGCACTTTTAAGATCACAGACCAACTAAGTCCAATGTAATTCTAAACCAGAAAATGCAGAAGTGAGCCCCCTCACTACTAAGGTTTCAAGAAAAACACATGTAAAATACAAGGAGGTACCTTTGGGCACTCTTATAGCATTAGATTTGACCAAAGGCAATCAAAGTGACAAATGGAAGAGCAGCAAATTCTTAGCTAATTTTCTCTTTATTTCCCTTACAACTTCAAATTCTTCTCTTATTACTCAGGAAAATATGAGAAAAAAAACACTATTGTGCTACAAAATCTACATGTCATTTACATAATGACAACTCTATCCTCCCCTAAACTCCCACCTAAACAAAACTCAAATTTCCAGTTTTATGTTACATACTTAGCATAAAAACATATTACTTAGGATATAAAATTACCTTAATCAGAAGGTCTAGGGCTGAAATTTTACACTTAGCAGTTCTATCTTTTGTATAAACACTGGTACACATATTCTAGGATTCAAAAGGAAATATATCATTCAAAAGGAAACAAAAGTCACCAATATGACTTAAGAACTAAGACTTAAAAATATCCAAAACTGTATCTATGAGTGATAATACCAAAGTGTAACATAATAAAATTCATAAATTAACACTAAAAGCATAATAGAGTATATAAATGTACAGATTAAAAATTACTGAAAACTAGGCCTGGCAGTTGTGATTAATCACAGTGGTTAATCAAGGCCAGCCTCATCTACATAGAGAGTTCCAGGACAGCCAGTGCTACACAGAGAAACCCTGTCTTGAAAACCAAGCAAACAAAAATAATTAATAAATAAATATTAAAAGTATTGAGAACTCCAACTCAGCTATAGTTGCTATGTAAAAACACACATAGATGATGCCTCAGTAAGAATTTGAAAAAAAATAAAAAAACAAAAGTGCATCATTTGTTTCTACATACATTTCTTACTTGTTATACATCAAGAAACAAGCTATAGGCCTAGCTACTCACAGGCTAGGATGGAGGAATCACCTGTGCACAGGAGATAAGGGGTAGCTCAGACAACACACTGATATGAAAGAAAGCAAGAGAGAGCAAAGAACCACCAGCGTGTGCAAAGAGAGCTGGAGAGGATGGTAAGAGCACTGCTGCTCTCCCAGAGGACTCAGGCTTGGTTCCCAGCATGCACATGGTGACTCAACCATCTGCAACTCCAGTTCCAAGGGATCCAACACCCTCTTTTGGCCTCTGAGGGTACATGCAGACACATAAACATAAACATAAACACACACACACACACACACACACACACACACACACACACACACACACACACGGGGGGGGCAAAATGTTCTCGTATGCATAAAATAAATACACCCTGAAAAAAGTTTTAAAAGTAAGCAGAGGAACTCAGAGAAAAGAAATTCAGTAGTAGAGGGCTTGCCTACATGTTCAAGTCACTGGGTTCAATCCTTAGCACCAAACAGGAAAAGAAAAATCTCCAAAGAATTTTGGTAAAAGTAAATAAAATAAACTATATATCAAAGACCCTTGTAAACTGTGACACATTTTATAAATATTAGTTAATATAATCAAGCTAAAATGAGTAAATGCCAATAAAAAAGCATAAATAAATAAATAAAAGCCTAAGTTCTTTAAACCAAAAGTTAAAATTGAAGCTGGCATATATGAGTTTTGATTTTTCCTTTTCCTTACCTTGATATCAAGAGAATAATGCATGACCTTCTGGTCAATTTTCTCTAAGAAGACATACAAAAATTTTAGGACTTCTTCTCTACAATCACGAAACTATAATATAAGAAATAAATAGAAAATACAGGTGAGAATAAGACACTCCAACAAAGAGGAAGATAGAAGACACAAAATGAAATGAAAGTTGTGCACTCACTTCATCAATGCTAAGTGATTTCCGGACAAATACAAGCAAACCAAACTCTCTGGAAAATACTAAGGAAACCTGCAGTGCTGGGGGGTAGAAGAGGGGAGAGAAAAATTAGAAGTTCTAAGAAGCATCTTATAAAAGACCCCTGAAAGCACTGACTGGTTTTCAAAATACTCTTGCAAGTAATAAAAGAAACCAAATTGAGGCTATTTTTTGAAACAATGACAACAGAAAATTCTGGATGCTGTTCCACAAAACGAAGTAGGCAAAATGAAACTTTTTCCCCTCCCCACCAGATGTTCACACTCTTCTCTAACTGCTAAGTTCCAGAAGTCAACTTTACAAGGTAATAGAGGTTACAAGGAATGAGGGTGCTAATTAGTGACCTTAAAATGGTGATATAATACTCCAACTGGTGGATCCAATGTAATCATATGAGGCCTTAAGGGGGAAGTCAGGCCAGCTTGAGCAAAGACCTAAAAGTCTGAGAGAGTCAGGCAGTGGTGGTGCACGCCTTTGAATCTAAGTGAGTTCCAGGCCAGCCTGGTCTACAGAGTGAGTCCCAGGACGCGGGGGGTTGGGGGGAGGTAGGGACGACACGGGACACGGCCTGTTACACAGAGAAACCCACAACATAATCAAAAAAAATTTTTTGTGGTAGTACCAGGGGACTGATCCCATGGCCTCATGCTTACCAGGTCAGTTTAAACACAAAAAAAACTATCTGGGGAATCTAAACCAATCAGAGCATGTCTGGGGTAACCACCTGCAACTCCAGCTTTAGGTTATCCAACGGCCTTATCTGACATCTACAGGCAGCTGCACATCAGGAGTACACATGCACACACACACCACTAAAAATAAATACTGTTGGGGAATGGGGGGCACGACTATCTATCTGGCCATGCTGCCCATGGCTGTAATCTCAGCAGTAAGTCAAAAAGGTAGGAAGATCACAACTGGAGGCCAATCTGGGCTAGCTCGAAAGAAAATAACTAAAACGAAAATGCTGAAAAGGGACATTTCCACAAAGAAAATTAAGTTATCGTGTAAGCATTGCTAAAAGCTAAACAGGGCAAGTGAGGTACCTCACATCTATAACTCCAGCATTTGAAGGCTCAGTTTTCAGGCTAGTTTGGGTTACGTAGGAAGCCCCTAACTCAAAAAGAAAAAAAAAGTCAAAAGAACAGCATGAATTTCAGTAATTTCTGCAATTATTTGAAAAATACGGTGCAACGAAAAAAGTGTTTTGGAAAAGTCCTAATGGGCTCAGTTTTGGATAGAAAGGACTGCCGAATTCAGGGGTCATTTTCCAGACCGGTTCTAAGCCATCTTTCTTCAGATGCTAGGAAAAGAGAGAGGTATACACATCCAGATTCAGGACTTCACAAGGCGGTGCTACACCAAGGCAGAGAAACGCTGAGACCTCTGACAGGCAGGCAGGCAGGCCACCCGGAGACCGTACCCACCCAGCACTGCGGAGCTGGTGCTCAGCACGCACTCCTGCCCCAGGCCACGGATCAGCTGGTAACTGGCGCCGGCAGCGCTGCAGCGGTCCGCCGCCGACACGAACTCCTGCAGCTGCAGTAGCCATTTGCGTATGCCGGCTCCTGCGTCCTCCATAATGCCGGCACCCGCCTTGCGCATGCGCGACAAGTCCCCGCCAGTCCCCGCGGGCACGCTCCCTTACACGCCCGCCCGAGGGGGGGAATGCGCACACCCACAGGCCTACAGGTGGGTAGCGCCTCACTTGTGCACCTCGGAAGTCAAGGGGACAGGAACCTGTCAGCCTAACCAAGCCAGGTACCACAAGAGCGGTGCACGTGCTTGGGACGCCTCAGACGTAAACACGCCTCAGGCCGGAGACGGACCAGCCCGCCGCGGGTTTCCCGCCAAAGCGCGGTCCTGCGGCAGGCTAGCCCATCGGAGGCGAGGGGCATGCACGGTGAGGACGAAGCTGAAACACCGACACGGCCACCTAGAACGCCCCTGCCGGTTCGTAGTGGAGCCTTCCGGGGGCGGGGCTACGCGTCCCTGCCCTTGTGATTGGCCGTGCACCTCCCCTAAGGCCACATCCTCCCCCACGCCAGGGCGCGCAGTGGCGCCTTCCGGAGGCGGAGCTACGAGCCTTTGCCTTTGTGATTGGCCGGGCCCCGCTGGGCGCTATGACGACAGAGCGACTGGCGGGAATCGGCTCCGCGTTCCGGCCAAGAACGCGCAGCTGGGTGGGCGCAAAATTCTAGACCTACCCCGGTGTACGCTTTTCCAGCTAACCCGGATCCGAGTGTTGGGACGACTCACAGCCACAGCACCATGTCGTCCCCGGCGTCTACCCCGAGCCGCCGCAGCAGCCGACGCGGACGAGCCACCCCAACCCAGACGCGTGAGTTCCCTCTTCCCCTTTCCGCCTCCGTCTCTTCCGCGGCACCGCGGAGTGTCCAGAGGCCTCTGAGCCTGCTGCGTGGTTGACAGGCCTGGCACATATTGGCCTCTGTTCACTCATCCAGATGGCTGAACTAGGCGTTCAACCCCGGTGCTGTCTGGCCTGGTTAGTTCAGTTGATTAAAAATGCCCACGCCTTTTCTCTCTGTTCTAGTTTGTTTGTTTTTAGTAGTAAGACTACCTGAGAGGCACTAAGCATGAGCATTGATACCCTTTTTTGTTTTGTATGACGGAAGTAAGAAGTGAGGAGAGCAGGTCGTCTCCCAATCGGAGACGCAGAGGCGAGGATTCTTCCACCGGAGAGCTGCCGCCAATGCCCACCTCACCAGGCGTGGACCTGCAGAGCCCAGCCGCACAGAATGCCTTGTTTTCCAGCCCTCCTCAGATGCATTCTTCAGGTGCGTTAATGCAGAAGTGGGTTATATTGTTGTTGGTAATAGAGGGGATTCTTCAGCCGTCTGGTTTGATAGGTTGCCTAAGCATTCTGTGTAAGCTCATAGTTTCTTCACGGAAGCAGCTGGGGAGTGAGGCGGAATTGCTAAGACCTAGCGAGCAAAGAAAGCAGACTTTGTAGTAGAGCTGCATTTCGGCCATGGAAGATTGTAGTAAGGATTCTGTCTGGTTTGGCAGGCAGCAGGCTGAATTTGGGGTTTGATGTGCTACGGGGATTTCTTTCGTTGTAAGTAAGGTGAATGTGTTGCTTTTATAGCTATTCCTTTGGACTTTGATATTAGTTCGCCGTTGACATACGGCACTCCCAGCTCTCGAGTGGAAGGGACCCCACGGAGTGGGGTGAGAGGCACACCCGTGAGGCAAAGGCCAGACCTGGGCTCAGCGCGAAAAGGCCTGCAGGTGGATCTGCAGTCTGATGGAGTGAGTACAAAGCAGCTCTCTGATGGAGATGTCTTTGGAGCATTGGGTAGTAATTCCATTAGCACGTTTCTGTCACTTCTTTCTCTGTAGACAGCAGCAGAGGACGTAGCAGCAAGTGAACAGTCTCTGGGCCAAAAACTTGTGATTTGGGGAACAGACGTGAATGTGGCAACATGCAAAGAAAATTTTCAGGTAAGCTTATATATACTAACACGCATTCCTGAGACTTCGGGACACATTGTGGGTATTCTATATGTACGTAGCCATGGCATGTAACAGCAGCAGGTTATTTGTGGCTTAGACTTTATTCCTCAAAAATAATTTTTTTCTTTTTAGATTTTAGTATTTTAAGATGGTTTCTCTGTATAGTCCTGGCTGTCCTAGAACTCATTCTGTAGACCAGACTGGCTTTGAATTCAGAGATCTGCCTGCCTCTGCCGCTCTGCTAGGATTAGAGGCATGTGCCACCACTCCCAACTAGGTGGTGAATACTTAGAATCTTTGCATTCCGGCAGAAGATTGCTAAAAGTTCAAGGCCAGCCTGGGTTCTAGGCCCCTGTCTCAAATCCAAGAAAGAAAAACTGTGTGTGGGTGTCGGTGTGGGTGTATCTGTGTGTCCATGCCATGCACAGCTTTTATGTGGAGGTTAGAGGCCAATTTACAGGGGCTGGTTCTTTCCACCTTGTGGGTTTGGAGATAGAGCTCAGGTTGCCAGGCTTCTAGACAAACATTCTTAATTCCTGAGCCATCTTGTTGGTTTCATGTTCTGTACCTTAATGATAATTACATGTTCCTAAGGACATTAAGCTTATTTGTTTTTCTCCACATCAAGAGATTCCTTCAATGTTTTACTGACCCTCTGGCCAAAGAAGAAGAAAATGTTGGCATAGATATTACTCAACCTTTGTACATGCAACGACTTGGAGAGGTAATCAAATAAGATTTACAAGTGAAAGTTTTGTATTTTGAGATAATAACAGTGAAATTTGACTTGTTCATATATCTTACAGATTAATATTATAGGGGAGCCATTTTTAAATGTGAACTGTGAACACATAAAAGCATTTAGCAAAAATTTGTATAAACAACTCATCTCCTACCCACAGGTAAGAATTGACTTTGAACTTCATGATTATAGTAAATATATACAAGGAATGTACCTAGTAAGCAGAATATTGTTTAGGTAAAAGAATGCTTCCAAAAGTTGAATATTTCTTAAAGAAAACAATGTTTTACTGTATTTAAAATGAGGAGAATTTTTTTCATCGCTAATTGGTAGTATTTCTTAAAAATAATGAATCTTCCCAGTGGTTTCTTGGATTTCATGAAGTAAATTATCTCTTTCCAGGGGGTGTTAATTGTAAGCTGCTGAGGCAAGGCAGTGTCCAGGGTAGCTTTGTAGCTGAAGATGACCTTGAACTCCTTACTTCTGGGTTTCTGACCCCCTGGAACTGGAGTTATAGGAGCTTATGAGCCACCTGAAACGGGTGCTGTGACTTGAACTTGAGTCCTGGCAGAACAAGTGCTGTCGACTCCTGAGTTATCTCTTCAGCCCCTACAATTTTACATTTGTATTTATAGGAGGTTATACCAACCTTTGACATGGCCGTCAATGAGATCTTCTTTGAACGTTATCCTGACTCCATCTTAGAACATCAGATTCAAGTAAGACCTTTTAATGCATTGAAGACAAAGAGTATGAGAAACCTGAATCCAGAAGGTAATATATTTAAAAGTAGAAAATGCTGTATGTGGAAAGAAAGATCAACGATTGTGTAGTTGGTAGTGATAGCATTAAATTAGACATTGAAAAGGTTTATTCTGTATACTTTTGTGAACTTATTGTGCAGTTTTCTAACTTAGCTGAAATCTGATATAAAAGGAATAACAATTCTCTACTGTAAAAGTGAATTTATTCAAATACAGTAAATCTCTAGTTAAGTGGGTATGTACTTTCTTAGTTGCTGAAGAAAACATACAGAAGGCTACCAAGGTGACTCAGCTATAAAAGCAGTTGCTGTGGAAGCCTCATTATATGAAAATTGATTCCTGAGAACTGTTTTTTTACTTTACATATGTGCCCATATTCATAAACACGTGTAATAATAATATTAAAGAAAAGTGCAGAACGTGATCCCCGACCCTAAACTTAAAGAATTCCAGCTTGGGTGGTAAATAAGATATGAGCAGAAGGTAAGTGTATCTTGGGGAAAGGGCAAAGTCCTGGACCTGCAGAGGACTTGTGAAATTGGTTGTGAAAGAAAAATTTAGTTTATAGGGTTTGAAAAGTGAATATGGCAGAATTCCTTCTAGATAACAGTGGAGGGATGAAAAGCGGAAAACACTGAATGTGAGCGATAGTGTATGTGGGTGGCTGAAGCTGGCATTTTGGAGACAGTATTTGGGATCAAAAAGCCTACTTCTACAGTGCTTAGGATGCCAAAAAAGAATTTAGGTCTTCTCATACTGGGTTGCCTTAATACATAGAAGGTGCTTAGTCTTTTTTCCCCCTTTTTTGGTTTTGGTTTGTTTTGTTGGTGGTTTTTTTTGTTTTGTTTTGTTTTTTGAGACAGGGTTTCTCTGTAGCCCTGACTGTTCTGGAACCCACTCTGTAGACCAGTCTGGCCTCAAGCTCAAAGAGATCTGCCTGCCTCTGCCTCCTGAATGCCACCACCGTGCTTAGTCTTACTGAAACTTGTTATGCCATGTTTTGTTTATACTCACGGGAGACCAGCCCTTTCCTAAACAGAAACTCAGGAGTATATTGGTGGTGAGAACAGACGGGGTGCGGGGGATGACAGCTGCAACTGGGGTACAAATTTAACTTTAAAGAAGTTTCAGTTTTATTTCAAAGTAAGTAGGGAGATGTTTAGAGGAGAAAGATTTTGCCACTTATGTGATTCAGAAAGCCCTTGTCATATGAATTCACTTAGACTGTCCGTGGCTCAATTGTGGGACATCAGGATCCTAATCTGAACAGTCCACAGTGGTATAAACAGGGCAGAATGATGTTTTCTCCATATGTGAAGGTTGGAATGTATTTGGGGGTGGGGAGGTCCTAGACAGGGTTTCTCTGTAACAGCTGGCTGTTTTGGAACTGGCTCTACCACTGCCTCTTGGGGGCTGAGATTAAAGGTGTGCACCACCACCACCACCACTCATTGTGACTGTTTTTTAAAATTAATAAAAACACTTCTGCAGATAAATGTACTAAGATTGTAAAATATCTTTCATAACAAATAATATAGAAATTAACATGAGCAGGACTTTTTTCAGTATTTGTTTTTTATTTATTTTTAGTTTTTCAAGACAGGGTTTCTCTGTGTGGCCCTGGCGGTCCTGGAACTCTCTTTAAACACCAGGCTAGCCTA